CCCAGAAAGACATATACATGAGCGCGCTGGCATTTAACAAGCTGTGAGGATGGTGTCTCATTTTAAAGTCGGACCACTATTTCTCCTGGGAGACAGAAAGGAGAGTCTGATAAAAAATCAAGTTCTAAAAACTCAAATGAGCATAGTACAGAGCTCTGGCAAATTAAAATGCGCGAATATGACACAAAGGACATACACCATGTGCAGGGCAAAACACCAAGCACAAGACAGAGCAGACATAAACACTGCAGCGTCTGGAAGCAAAGCATTGTGGGAATCGCCATGTCTGACAGTGACGCCGGTGCTTAAGCAGAAATCTGATATTCATAAGCTGGAAAAGAGAGCATTGTAGAAAAAGCGATCCTTTGTCCTGTGATGGGAGTCATTTCCATAAGAAAGGAACTCGAGGTGTGTGGGACACGCACCGCAAGATTTGACACAGCGTTACGCTTCTGGTGGAAATCACTTCAGCCGGACAAGCAAAGAATTTTACTCTAGTCACGCTCGCTGACCAAACCAAACCTGATTATGTCAAATCTCCGGCTCTGGTTTCACGTCTAACAGAGTCGAAGACTGTAATGGCAAACTTTACTTACTAATTAGGAAAGCAGTACTTCGGAATCTGATCTCCTGCAAACCCAGCTTTTATAACACCAGAGCCCTGCAACGAAAAGACACAGTTAAGGTGGTTATGAAGGATTCTATGAGAAACTATGATTGCTTAAAAGAGGAAATATTTAAATGAGCGAAGTGTTGGCTGGATTTTCTTTTAAAACAGGCTATTAGTTTCACAGACCGCAAAAAGACGGTTTGTGCAGGCTATAAAACAAAAAAAACTGCAAGCAGTATGAAATAAGTGTGTGTTATAACTACCAATATTGCGGTAATTTTCACTTTAAAATCTGGAGCCTGTGGCCTGCACAATAATACGCTTTACGACAAGATTTGCAATATTGTCAATTCCGTTCATTCGCCAAGCAGCATCCTTTACCTCCAAGAATACCCTGGCCCTGAAAAAAAAAAACACCCCAGCTTTTCTCGGACTGACAGGAAACATATCCATAGACGACGCTCCCTGCACACCTCAGCCAATCAACCTCGCCACAGGAGGACAACACCCGCCCGTTTCCGAATGGATAGGCGTGAGAGGTGTCCAACGGGATTGAAGGATTCTTCCCCCGAGCATCCCGTTTCATCTATTCTTTCAGACATACACGGAAAATGAGATTAAAAATTGACAACAGTCTGCCTGCGACCCGTGCTCTGTCCTGGGCTTTCCGGGTGGCTGCAAAGCCCGCTAGATCGGGCTCGGGTTCGGGTACCGCCTCATCTCCGGCGCCCGACAGCTCGCCGGGGTGCGGCTGATCCGACTGGGGTGTGTGATGGGGGGACGCCAGGGGGTCCCGCAAAGGTCCGCTGACAATACACGGGCCATGCACCTTGCATGTGCAAGCTGTAAACCACCCCGGACCCGAGTTACTCACGTTGTCGATGACAACCGGCTGGTTGGCGATGACATCGTAGGACTCCATGGTGAGGCCGCAGAAGCGAGACGCCGGGTCTGTCTGGCGCAGGCGTGGAGAGGGCGGCGCTGTGTTTTGGGACAGGGGACAATGAACGCGTGTGCGCGCTGGGGAGTGATCCTGACCGTGCTGTGATGCGGATACTGTACCTCTCAACCCTGTGGCATCTATGGAAAGTTCAGCGGCATATCTGCGGTTTGAATGATGTAGCAGTCGGAATGATGGTGCCTTCTGTTGCTTGCTTAAAGCAGAGTGCAATTTAAAATGATTAAAACATTAATTAAACCGAAGCCTGTTCAAACATCCACAACTTTTAATTTAATTCTGGGTCTAATATACCTTTTGTCTTAAAGATCCTGTTTAAGTATGAAGCTAAAACTAGATTTCATTTTAAAAATAAATCTCTAAAAAGAGCCGTTTATCCTCATCCTTCCTGAGGTTGTGGCGGGGATGACTCATACCAATGTTAGTACAACAGTAATTTAGAAAAACAAGTCTGAACTAGATGCTGGTACCGAACGAGCCTCAGAGGGTTTTATATTGTGAATCCTTAACTGTGTAGTGTTGTATTAGACATGAAAGGACGCTGTATGAAAGTGTTCCGCTTTTTAACACGGAGATGTTGGTTTGCTTCAAAGAAGCATCGTGTGTTATGGGACAAAATACATAACGTTTATGAAACGTGTCTTAAAGATTGTGCACTTGTTCAAAACAAACTGCAGTTCTGACTGCAGTTTAACTGCATTAAGTTTGCTTTAACAAAAAGCATTAACGCAGTGACTGCATTAACCGTCAAACGGGCTAGGTGAGCCTCTCATTCATTACTTCTTGTGATACTAGAGAATTAGTTTCTCTCTTGAGCAAATCAACAACCAATATCGTAGCAGTATCAAACAGTCATCCTCAATATCGACCCCTGTGAGGATTAGGAATAATATATATGTAGTTTATAAAGTACTCCATGAGTCATTGCCCTGCAGCTCACAACTGGCAGCCTACTGAAGCTTATCAGGTGTGAGCCTGGTCAGTACCTGGAGTGGAGAGCTCCTGGGAAAAAACTAAAGTTGCTGCAGGAAGTGGTGTTAGTGGGGGCAGGAGGGGGCGCTCACCCTGCGGTCTGTGACGGGTTCTAATATAGTACATAGTACAGTATAGTAACGGGGACAATATACCGTAAATATGCGCCGTCCTTCGGATGAGACGTAAAACCGAGATCCTGACATTCTGTGGTCATTAACAGTCCCAGGGCGTTTCTCGAAACGAATAGGTTACCCCAGTGCCCTGGTCAAATTTCCCACTGGTCTTTACCAGTCAAAGCCTCCTAATAATCCCCATCTATGAACTGGCTTCATCACTCTGTTCTTCACCAAGATGATAGCTGGTGTGTGGTGAGTGTACTGGTGCACTATGGCTGCCGTCGCATCATCCAGGTGGGGCTGCACTGATGGTGGTGGTGTAAGCGCCTTGAGTGGAGTGTCCAGAAAAGCGCTATGTATGTGTAAGGAATTTTTATTACTTTTTTAGGGGAAGAAAGTCTATGTCTATCTGACATGATTTGCGTCTTAGACAGGAGTGTCCGTATGCGTCCACTAGGTGGAGCTAAGAGTTGGGTTTAGAGAGAAGCACTGGTTTTCCCAGCGCAGCGCCCCCTCCAATCCCAAGTACTGTCGACAATCCCAGCCCCCAAACTCCTGCGGTGTGCCCGCCTCCACGCCGATGAACACCCAGATCAACCAATCATTGTCTTATGATGGCAGCTTTCCCCACCCACCCCAAATGCTGATTCGCCAGACAAGGTGTCACTCAAGAAGTGCTCGGACGTTCACTGGAGAAGCAACAAGCTGCTCCTCGCTGGGGTGAGAAGAGGGGGGCAGGTTTCGCGTTTTCATCTAGCGAAAACAGGAGACTCCAAAATAGACATAGCTGGGTTTTGGGAAGGGGGGAGCGGTAAATTGCAAACTTTGTGTCAGTGGAAGGAAAGAGAGAGCCTTGCTCTGTTTTTTTTCCAGCAGCCCCCGGAGCTCGGTGTCGGGGATGGATGATTTGCGGCCTAGCGGCGGCGCCGGAGCCCAGGGACTGGCGTCGCTGTTCCCCCCGGGTCTGCAAGCCATTTACGGGGAATGCAGGCGGCTGTATTCCGATCAGCCGAACCCGCTGCAAGTCACAGCCATCGTAAAATACTGGTGAGTGTTGCCTGCAGCAGCCAGAACACCAAGCCGATGCAAGACTTTTGTTTTGTAAAACCTTGAAGGGAAATGGGGCTAGTTTTGTGCGTTTGACTTCATTGAGATTAATATAAAGTTTTGAACGGTTCAGCCGTAATCTGGCCAGTGAGGAGGGTCGCAGTGCCGTGCAGCTGGAGTTCGGGGGTTATTTTTTTTGTCATTGATGTTGGTTACACTGTTAGCGGAGCTGTAACTCGCGGGCTGAACTTTCTCACTTTCGTCCTTGTGGTCGATATAGACAAAGTTTTCACGGTGAAGGGGAACCGTTTCGAGTCTCGGGGATAAGTAAGAGCACAGTGATCTCCCCCCCCACTCCCGGGCGATAGGGGTCCCAGACCCGTAGGTACTGTGATGGAAACAGCTTTTCAGGGGGCTTTCCTTTTGACAACCCCCCCCAAATCTGTGGACATTGCACAGAAGCCCTTCACCCCATGCCGTGTAGGCAGCGAGGCCATGAGCTCTGGAGAGAGTAGTTTCGAGAAAGAGAGAAGATGCGACCCCGGAGCGGAGAGCTGGCTGTGTCTTTCAGGGCTTTTCTGTCAGGAGGAGCACTGGTCTGATTTCCACAGCGGGTGTCCTTTACAGACCAGCAGAACCGTCGAGCCTGGCTACATGCAGGGTGACAAGTCGGTGTTGAGCGGGTGGTAGAGTATCATCGCTACGCTAGGGGCATCAGCGCCACTTCTCTCGGTTGGTGTTTGCGCCGTATACGGGCTCAAGAATGGTCCCACGGTTGCTTTGAAGTCCAGGACTGTTGATGCTCACGATGTGTATACTGTAGGTTTCCCACGCGAATACGTGAGGGATTTCCTTTCTCTCGCCACATGACGGTACAGAACACGCTAAAAACTGTTTGAACCGATGTGTGTGTGTGTGGAGAGGACTGCTGTGTATGCGGGCAGATGTGATCCCTTGCGCGTCAGTGACTGACAGGGATCAGGCTGAGGTCTTGAGACAGGGCGCTGTTCTGGTCCGCTGCCTCACCGTCATGCCCTGTACCCAACACATTTTCTGCTCCCGCAGATGCTGATCTCTTGTGGTTTGGTTAGGTACTCAGTTGCAGCCAAGTTTATTTCTGACTGAGTCACCCCCGTTTAGGTTTCTGAATGTGCCTACACATGGTAGATAGTCAAATTTGCTTGTTTTTTTTAACTTCTATTGCTCCTATATTAACTTCTATATTTCTATTTCCTAAGAAATATATTTGAGTATAAATAGGGGTGCACTTTATAAGAACGGTAAAAAATTACTATTGCCTTAACACATTTTTTGTGTTAACACTTTTTTTTTATAATGTCACCAATGAAAACCTGACTTTGTGATTAAAATTCTTTCAGTGGTTGTCTGTTAGACCAAAATTTCAGAAGGAACTCATTTTGGTAAAGTGGATATTTATATATTTGTTTTTTTATACACCAATGAGGGAAGCAAGTGGCTATAAATTGCATAATTTTGAGTTTCATACTAACATTTACAGAGACATTGTAAATAAATTCAGGATGCATTTGTCATTACCCGTTCTTTCAGGTGACATGCTGAAGACCAGGGAGATTTAGGCTGAGGTAGAATTATTCAGCCACAGTAAGTGGTCTGGCAGTGGAGTAGGTGGTGGATACCCTTTATGATCAGGACTAGAAAGGAGATCATTGATGACTTCAGGGAGCTCATGAGAACTGTTGGTACTCAACAGGGACTGTAGGCACAACAGATCTTGAGATCTGGTCTGGTGTAGCGAAGAGAGTGTCTGGTGAGCATTTCTTCATGTATGAATAAAACACATGCATTACAAGAAGATGCAGATGGACACCAGTGATTGACTTTGACTGCTGGTGAGCAGCATACCTGACATGACTAGGTCAACGAGACAGACTTTATTTGTATTTTATAGATGGAGAAGATCAGTAATGTTAGGTTAAAGTGATCTAATTCACTCCTCTCCTCTGGCCTCTTCTGCTCTCTTCTTGGATCTCTCTCTGTCACAATATTTGTGCCAAGAGGGTAAAGTGTAATAGACTTTAATATTCATCCCATGATAATGGTAGGGATGGGGAGACACAAGTATGCCGTGTACCCTTCACAGGGGTGTCTATAGTGTGATGTATGTGTTGGGTTTGGGGATCCGTAAACAGGCGTCTGTGATTGGCTGGCAGACTGGGACTGTGGGTGCGATTGGCTGGCGGACTGGGACTGTGGGCGCCTGCGATTGGAGGTAGTTGCCATTTAAGTTCTGTGCTGTTGATCTCTGGTGCTGGAGGCAAGAAAATCCACTAATTATGGCTTAATTTACCATGGGAATGCTACTGCTGTTACTTTGAATATTCCCAGGAGAAGCAGTTTATTTAGTTTCTCTTGACCTTTCTGAAATGTACTTTTCCAAGACTTTCAGTGGCTATTTACTGTATATACTGTACACACAGATTATTTTTCAGAAATCAGTGGTTAAACCTTAGGCTGGGCCTCAATGTTCTTCCTAATATTACGCTTTTGACAATGTTGCCACAGGACTTTCTGCTGCATTTCAAACAGTTTTTGTGTAAATTCCCACAATAATCGACAGAGGCAGTTTCTTAGCTTCTCCACACGCCCACAATGAGAAACAGCCGCACTAATAGACAGTATACGGTATTGCATCACTACAGCCTAGTTATTTTTTCTCATTTTAGTTGCTGTTAATGAATCCCTTTGCATGTCATGCACAGCTAACAAGTGCAAGTAATTGTTCTCTGTAGTGCAAGAGGTCCAAGGCAGTTGCTGTGGTGGGTGATTGGATCTAAGACATTGAGTCCATTGTATTGGATCTGAATTGGATGTCTTTAAGAACCAATCAGTATTTTGATTTCTTTGGGAGCAGTTTCTACATCTCTGTCCCTTTCCCCTCCAGAAAACAGATTAAATATCTTTTGAAATGCCCTTTCACACGCCCTTTAAGGCTTGCACATTGAAGCTGTATGGACTAGAATTAGTAACAAATCATATTATGTCTTGATTATAATGAAACTGTCATATGAGTAGCTGGTTTGGTAGTCAAATGAATTTCACTATAAGCACTCTGTCCATTGAACACAATCACTGTGATGTGCATGTCTAGGCATCTTAAACCCTCCTGGCTTGTGCACTATTTGGAGTTAGAATGTATTGTTTTATCTTGAAAAAGCCATTATAATCAGCATTCAGTACACTTCAGGATATAGTAGTGTGAAAACCATTTTTTAAGGTACAGTATTGTGTATTGTACTGAATTTAATAGGTTTTTTTTTAATGGCTATCTACAATTCAATTCAAATTGATCTTTTTACTACTCTAACTCCTTATAAAAATCAGATGCGTGGCATCTCCTGTAAGTCTGATAGTCAAAATCAACCATACACCTTTACTTTCTAAAGGTTGGGCACACTTAAAAGCCAATTAAACAGGGGATTCAATTAAGGGGAGCTCTGGTCTGTTTATTCACATCCCGATTGTGTCTGCCTGCTCACTGCTTTGTGAAATAATTGTAATGTTCCTTCACACAGGCTGGGAGGACCTGACCCACTAGATTACATCAGCATGTATAGGAATGTGGGCTGTCCAGCACAGAACATCCAAGAGCATTGGCACTACATCAGCTTCGGACTCAGTGACTTGTATGGAGACAACAGAGTGCACGAGTAAGTGTCATTTTTTTTTTGTTATACAAACGGTCAAGCTACCAAAAGTCAACTATCATAAGGGTTGGATTTAACTTTAGTTCTTTGGCCTAGTGTACCATATTAGTTGATTCACAGTCAGGGTGATTTAGGTGCTTTAATTAACCTAAATCACCCTGCTTGGAAACTAGCATTGAGGGTTAAAAAAACAAAACTCAATTCCTTTTGTGTTCGCATATGAAACAGAGCCTAGTTCATAGAAAAAAGTACACATTTGATCCTTTTTGTGGACTGATTTCTTTTTTTGATTTCACAATTCTTGGTTGTAATTGGTCTCATAAATCACATGGCGACAAAGACTACTTCCCAGAAAACCGGTGAAGATGGCTGCCAGGGAAGTTGTGGGTTTTTCCAGGCTTTTTGTCTTTTCCCAGATTTTATGCAGCTTTTAGTGAATATCATCACAAACCAGTACATGAAACTGTACAAAGTGCATTAGCATGCGTTTTAAAAGTGTGTTGGCAAGTTGGTACGGAAGTGCATTGCAAAATTAAATATTGCAGTATTGTATGAATATCATAGATTTACGTGATAATGTACTATTACATGAATACATAATTATCACAATTATACAAAATACGTCATTTAATTATATGATAGTAAATATGATGTAATAACATAATTATTGTAATACTTTGAGCCTTGTAATGATAAGCTGAATGAAAGAAAATGATCCAGGACGAGTCTTTACTAATTGTGAATTCCTGTTCCAACTATCCTATGCTTTATTGTAATAAAATCCCATATCAGAAAGGCTGGTAAGATGATTTGCAAACAAAACATCCTGTCCTGTTCTGTAAAAATTAATGTAATTATATTTGTTTTAAATTCCGTGAAAGCACACATAAGAGTGCAGAGTCTCTTATTTTTCTTAGTGTATGATTCTGCCTTTTCATTTTAAATATGAGGCACTGAGTTGAACTTTACTGCAGTAAAATGTATAAAACCAGGGGGCAAAACAAACCAATACCTCTGGGCAGAAAATTAAAGTCTTTAACTTGTTTTAATAGATTTGTTAATACAGTGAAAAATACTCTGCTTCATTGTGCAGGCAATGGCTATTGTGTGATCAACAGCACGTGATCAACAGCAGAAGGCTGTGCGCAGTGTTTTTCTTGATGGCAACAGTCTGCTTTCTTTCCTGTTTCTGTTCATGGAAGAGCACAAACAAGCCTTCACCTTTCAATGTGGGTCAAAATTTATACGCAATGCACAAAATATACCAGACTGTCCTGGTTCGATTTGATTCTAAATGAAGCGTTCTTGTGACATGTTCACTTTGTGATGTTTTGAAAACTACGAGGTATCCAGTTTACCAAAAAACATCCCAAACGAGTCAAGTGTGAAATGCATATGCATGTGTATATGAACGTGTATGCACTTTCATCAAATAAAGCTGTCACTATTGGAGCTTTGCACCACTTGGACATTTATCTTAAAACCAGAAAGTTCCGTGGGTCGTGTGGTTGTGCAGTGGGTAGCTTTGCTGCCTCACAGCACTCTGTTCGACTTTGTATGTTCTTCCTGTGTTCACTTGGGTTTCCTCCGACAGTCAGGAGACCTACTGGAAGGTTAACTGGCTTCTGGGAAAACTGGCCGTGCTGTGAGTGTGCGTGTCTGTTTTTGAGTCTGTGTGTGCCCTACCTTGCACCTGTTGTTTGCCAGGATAGAGTCCGGCCCCCCCATGACCCTGATTTGGATGAAGTGGTTAGATGGATATACAGTGGTGCTAGAAAGTTTGTGAACCCTTTAGAATTGTCTGAATTTCTGCATAAATGTGACCTAAAATGTGATCAGATCTTCATCTAAGTCATAAAAACTTATAAAGAGAACCCAATAAAACAAGTGACACACAAAAGGATATACTTTTTCATTCATTTATTGGTCAAAATTTTACATTTCAATGCAGTTGTGCCTGTCATGCCGACTCGAGACACTCATCTTTTAAAGGGGAACTGCAGTCCCAGTTTCTCAGACCAGTTAATCAGTCTTGGTAACAAAATAAATTAATTGATGGTATAGAAAAGAAATTTAGAATTTCTAATTAAGCACTGTGAACTTTGTGAAATTACTGCTGGTATCGCCACAGGCAAGAATGAGAATTCACCAGAATTGTGACGTGTTTTGGCCCTTCCTGCTCACTAGTCACCATTATGACTCATGTAATGTGATGGACGAGCGAATAAGTACAGGTTGTGCAGCAGACATTTCACTTCAGAAATGTTCCAACGATATCTGCATGCAGAGTCAAAAAGTGCATAGTATTTGTCTGCAAAACTGTCTCAAAGTTGAGAGAAATATTTCTATCGAATTAAAAGAGATGTATTCATTGCTTGTTTACAATGTCATAAGGCTGCTTCATGTTACTGAAGGATTTGTTGCCTCATTCTGAATCAAAACATGGTGCTGTGCATACCTGGAAATGTTGTCCGTTTTGTGGTGTAAATTGGAGTTTTTACATTGTGGACATTTTACTTTTATTGTGGTTTGAAATGCACTCAGTGATGCTGTTTCTTTCTAGCCCAGAAATTTAAAAGTAGTGTTGCAGTTCCACTTGAACACATCACAGGCAGCACACAGCCCCATAATAAAGGTTCAGTGCCCGGCCTGCAAGTGCCTGGGAGGCCACAGGGGGCGCTGTGTCCCTGAGAGCTGAGAGAGCCATGGCCAGCTAACCCTAACTAACTGCAGCCTTTGGGGGGTATCGGTAAGATGAGCCCCTTGGGGGTTCAGTTAGTAGTGACCAGATCCAGGATCACAGATCTCTGCCTGTGCTCAGGCAAGAGCCACTCGGGAAACCAAGTTACAATTTCAGTAAACTAATAAGAATTGTTCCATCCTGGAGGCTGTTATTCACTGGAAGTTTCTAGATGTTTTATTTTTCAGTGTTAATGCATTACATTGATATGATGGTTTTGATATAAACTAATACTATAAATTGTTGATCGTGATGTTTAAAAAGTTTAGTATTAGAAGGTCAAGGTATGTTATGCTTTGCAAAAATATGCTGTAGCTTTTTAAATCTGAAATGACTCGGTCTTTAACTTGCATTAAACATTAGTTCTTAAGTGTGCAGAAGCATGAACCTTTGTTGAAATGCCTTTTTTTGTGTGTTCACTGCCTTAGCTCTACACAATGAAACCGTGACAGACCTTCTGATCAAGGTGTCAAGTGAGTCGATATGCAAGGGGCTAGAACAGGAGAATTATACTGCTACACACAAAAACACTGTCACTGGCACAGTGCTATAGCTAATTGAGCTTAATTATACTGCTGAAATATTCAGCTAAAGGGTTACTGTTTCTCAGTTGTTTATTAAAATGATTCATTGTGAGAATATTTAAGAAATTAAAGTTTAAGTGTACTTCCTATCTGAAATTACATAATTCCTTTAGATTCTTTTGAAAAAAGCATTTAATAAGCTAGACAAAACTAAATACATTAGAAACAATCATTGGTTCAAGTGAAATGTGATGTTTAAGAAATGAATTGAATTTAAATAGCACTTTTAATCTGAAAGGTAACAGTTTACCTCTAGAAATGTTTTTTTTTTGTCTGTCTTAAAATCTAGAAATGAATACAATTGGTGAGATTGGGTCAAAAGGCACTGAGCAAGAACTTTTAACAAGCATGCCAGCAGTGGCTTGCAATATAAGAAAAAAGGCTTTAGTTTGGTATACCATTGTATACATAAAGACATAAAGAAAATATGGGAAACATAATAGTGTTTGTTGGCACTTTACTCTTCAAAGGCTCTTTGAAAAATTTCTGATATTTGTGCTTGTGTAGCATTGCATTGCTGTGTTACATGTCACAGATGGCCAGATGTGGTTCTAAAGACCCATAGCCTTGCCAGAGTTTATTTCTTTCTGTTTTTAGTCTTTGTTTAAGTGACCAGTGGTCAAAGATCAGGAGACATGCAGATTGTGATCCCTTAAATAAACAACAAAATTCAGATGTAAAAAAGATCGTGTTACCTCAGTTGCTAGTTATTGAACATTACTTTCTGTAATAGACTGTGTCCACTCCAGTATTCTACATGTCTTGCAGTTTGTTCTAAAATTACAAAACTATTATAAGTTATATCCCTTTACCTTTGTGAAACAACAGCACGTGATGAGAAGCCACTGAATGTCTTCTCTGAAGTCTGTCCTGCCCTTGAAAGGAAGACATTATTTCAGAATCGCCAGGCAGGCATGGAAAAACGGATTTGTCATATTGTGGATGTATATCTAAAAGCTGTGTTGAATGAGGTGGTAATATTGAGTATGACGGATTGCTTAATGTATGATACGAGACTTTTTTTAAGACCTAAATACTGTCCCAGTAGTCTTGTTTAAACTTCATTTTGGAGGACTGTGCATAAGGGGGTTTTAAGGCAGTTGCAGGAAATACAGGCTGCCCTGTGGGGTATTAGCTGCCCTTATCACCTTGAAAAAAGTGCTTAATCAGCTGTGTCCTGGAGCAGCATTGTTGGAGGCAGACCTCCCCTGTAGCAGGCCATGTCCTGACATTGTTTAGACCTCCAGATGGGCCAGATCCAGATGCCACCATTTGTATCCAGGTGGTTAGTAGAACAGCTAATGAATGTGGAGCTGGTAATGGAGAGGAGGCCACCTACTGAGCAGAGACACTGAAGGCACAAAGACCCCCATTTAGGATACTGTTTTGCTCTGCGAGAGCTTTTTTGTTCAAACAAAAAGCGGACAAAGATGAATATAAGAACTACTACAAGTGTGTCTCAAAAGATGTGATTCATGCTAGGTCTGTCAAACATGGCCTGTACCGCAGTGCTTGTCCAGAACTTGCCCAAATTTCAATCTATGAGCCCAAAGTTGCAAAGTTAAAATCTCCTGCAATATTGTGCAACCAGTGTTAAATTTATATCAGTGATCACTGTGGTCCAGAGTTAGAATACAAAGCTCTTGGAGCTGGCAACTGAAAGATAGCCCCTGTTTCCACTCTGCATCACTGCAGTCTTGAGTGCTTTATTACGGGTTGACTTGGCACTCTGCGTCCCATGGTTGAAGCTCTTGTGCAGGCCACCCCTGTTGATGCTCCTTGCCCCAGGTTTCTCTCTTTCAGTCAGAACACTTTGAAAAGCTTTGTCTGCTTTCAGCCACAGGTGACAGAGTTTGTTCTGTCGTCCCCTGAATCTGGTCGATATGAATCGAGATGGATTGAGATCGCTGCAGTGACAAAGGCAGACGTCTTGCAAGTGGGATATCTTGGTTGAAAACAATTATACTTTGTGCTGAAATGTACATTATTCATACTGTGTGAGAGAACTTGGTCTTCAAGACAAGTGTCATACCTGTAGCAGCCAGTCCTGGGTGTTTTGCAAGTGTTTAATTTATGGATCAGTATTTCACAGACACGACAGGGTAGTTGCAGTTCAGTCTTCTGTTTAAAATAAGGAAGGCTGATGTTTTTGCAGTGCTCCATATTTGGAGTGACAAAATTGTGTATAATATATATGTATAGTATGGTCATATTATACATTTATCAACACTAAGCAATACATTTTTAAATAGGATTAATTTTCACAAAGATCCAGTAACAGCACATAACTGCTGAGCGTAATTTAAAGGCATAACTTAACTTTAACTTTGATAAAGGCAATAATCAGCTCATTTTAATAATAGAAAAGAAGAAGTGAAAGCCACTGATATACCTTTAAAATAATTGAGAGCACAACATTTTAATAACAGGCTGTAGTATGAATGTGCACATTGTGGCTGATATATGCCCTTCAGATATGGCTTTTCATGTAATATTTGTATATAATACAAAAATGTGATTTAAAACTAAACTTTTATTTTTGTGATTTAAAACTAAAATGTTCTTTTCAATGGTAAGCCTATTTGAAAAGTACAGTCACCCCATTCTTGTCATGGCCTAGTGGGGCAAAATGCACTGTCTCACCAGTGAGACACCGCTGCTTATTGTACAAAGGGGAAAATCAAGGTAGATAATTTTATTTCAGGCTGCTGTGTTCCTGTCTATTATACGGCAGTCCACCATCAGTACAGCAGTCCTGCTTCTGATTTACCTCATCAAATTAAGAGGTCAAGAAATCTGTATGCTAGTGGCATGCTGGTGTTATCTACCATACTACCCGCTAAGAGAGCCCCATCCTTGTGTACCTTTGACTTTAATGTCAACCAGTAACAAAAAAACTTCGGACTGGGTTCCAATGTGATTCAGTTTGTCATTATATTCTCAAAGCTCTGGAAAATGAGGGGCTTGATCAACATGTAGTGTGCTGATTAAGTGTTTATCACTACTTTCAAGCCAATTATAATCTGAGGAACATTAAATGGAAAGACTTATTAGGCGGTAGTGTCTTTAGGTGTTTGCATTATTGAGTGACGAATCCATAATCTCTCTTATCCCATCTTGAAAATCATCACTGGCCTGGAGGGAGTGGCCGTGACCTCTCCTTTTTGTTTGAAACAAGGACAACGTGATTGTCTTAGTGTTTCTTTGGGTGTTCCCAATTTGAACAGTTTTCCCTCCCTTAAGACACGTGGCTCTTTTGAAATGTCTGGTCAAAACGGGCTTTAAACTCCTGCTGTATATTGTGCAGAATTCAGAATATAACATTCTGGGTATTCTCTTAGGAATGTTCAATTCTCCCACCTTCAGAACATCTGGGGTCTGTTTGCCTGAGACTATCCTTTTTTGGTGTTGAAAAGAGGAGGAGGAAAAGGGAAAGCTCCCCCCGGTGTGCCTTGTAATTCCAGAGAAGGCACAAGCAGAGGTTCTAATCTGCCTCTGTCGCTGAGGGGAACTGGACTTGAGGACGTCTAGCGCTGGAGAGGTCCTGGGACGCTTGGCTGGGCTGCGTGTGCGGTTAGTTTAGGAAGGAGGAAGGAAGGGGGGTGGACCCTAGAAACAAATTCAAGTCAAGAGCCTTTGAGAAGGAGGGAGAAGCTTTTTTTCTCATTCTTGCTGAACACGTGAAATGAGAAAGTGTCTCCTCTATAATGGAAAAACCTTTCATTAACATGAGGGAGGCTTTTTACAGACATTTAAGAATTGGCTCTAACTGGTCTTGCAACATTGCTCCATAAACCCTTTCTTTTTTTTTGTAGTTGACGGTTCTCTTTTATATATAGTGAAATTGTTTTTATCAGATTTTTTTGGGCAGGAGACAAAGGCGGCAGGATCCAAAAAAGGCAGTTGTGCACGGCTTGAATAGACTCAACTGTGCGAGTACAGCTACAGTGAACATGCAGCAAGTGAACTGTTCCAATAAATTACCCATCTTGCATTATATGTTTGGAATTATTAATGTTTTTCCATCCAGGTGAACAAGTATAAGAATGAGACGCATACTTAAAACATTGAGGCTGATTAAGACAGATACTTAAAACCTTAAGACAGATGTTTAAGACCTTAATTGTTAATGGCATCTTTATTGCTAGAATTTGAATAGTGTCCTGTTTTGACAAATCGGTGCGTAGTATATGTAGAGAGGGTTTAGTTGATCTTAGCTGATGTTTGAAGCTGGGTGGCGCATTGCTGCCTTCGAGCACTGAGGCCCTGGGTTCAGTTCTGTACCTGGGGTACTATCTGTGTGGACTTTGCATGTTCTATCCATGTTCACATGGGTGTCCTCTGGGTGCTCTGGTTTCCTTCTGCACTCCAGTTACATGCTGGTGGGTTAATGGGCTTCTGGGAGAATTGGCCCTGGGTTGGGGTGTGTTCGGCGTGGGCGCAGGTGCGGGCCCAGGGATGGGCCAGAATAGTCTCTGGCTTCCCCGCAAATTAGAATTGGAAGAACTGGTCAGAAGATGGATGGATAGTTGAAGCTTAATCCAGAATTTTGCTTCACCGAAAGCTTTTTCAAAAAGTCTACGCTCTGAAGTCTAGGGACTGCGTGTGTGATATCTATGAAATTCTGAATGAGAAGTTGATTAGACTGAGCTCCTCTCCTTTCTGATCTTCATGTTTATGAAAGGTATGGGGATACCTATGACCTCTTTCTTGTCAGTTTCCAGATTTCTGATGGTTGGTCCAAGTTCCTGCTCAAACTTTCTCTGGGCAATTCAGCTGCTTAGTAAAATATGTTCTTTGATGTTTCTAAAGCCTTATTCACATTTTATTTGTAATAGATTTACGGGACAGGATGGTGCCAGTGGGTTTGGGTTTGAACTGACCTTCCGGTTGAAGAGGGAAGCAGGAGAGACGGCGCCCCCTACCTGGCCAGCAGAGCTCATGCAAGGACTGGCCAGATATGTGTTCCAGTCAGGTACAGTAACTCGCTGAGACAAGATAATAGAAGCCCATGTTCCAAAACACATGCTTGATTGTTGTAGAAATGTACACAACACTAGGAATGGAGGCTTTAAGATTATACCAGTGGCCTTTGGATTATTCAAGGGCATATGAACAGATACCAGGTCATTTGGTAAATCCAGCCCACTTTCTAGAGTGGTGATCCATATGAGACTGACTCTCAGTCTCCTGCTCGACAGTCTTGGTATATGGGTTTCCTGTGGCTGACTGACTTCCCGAATTTGTGTTGCATGGACAATGTAATAATAATAATAATAATAATTGCTTACACTTATATAGCGCTTTTCTGGACACTCCACTCAAAGCGCTTTACAGGTAATGGGGACTCCCCTCCACCACCACCAATGTGAGCTGGAGCTCCCTCTACTGCACAGACGCTCTTCTCTTTAGACAGGAGGCCATTGGCTCTGGTCCCTCTTGGACCATCCCGAGGGATTTTTGTTCAGAAAATACATTTCTTTCTAACACCACCAACTGAGGTCGTCCTTTGTCCTGAAGTGCACCCTTCATCGAGGACCAAGCACGAATGCCGTCGAGTACATGAGCCAGCCGCCCTTTCTCACCATTTTTTATGCCAAAAAATACAGTAAAAAAATCTATTGCACTCCATTGTTTTTTGTCATTGTAATACTAGTGTCTCTTTCAACAGTCAAGCACAGCTTTGCAGTAAGCTTTTTAATAGGAGTGCATTCTGTTAAAATATACCTTTTAAATCGTTCTCTTGGTCTTGTGAAACTTACTTCAGATGAAAGGAACTCGGGTCTCTGCCGTGTGGGTCAAAGAGGTGAAGATGTTAAGGAACATTCCCAGTGAACATCCTGATAGCACTCTAGAAAATGTTAACATTTTAGAAGCAAATGGGCATCATAAAAATAAAAGCTCATCCCCTTAAAGATTTTAGCAAAAGAATTCCAAAACATTATTTGGCCGAAGCTTTGTCTTAATCGAATTTCCATTTTCTGATGGACCGTTTGAAGTTGCAGATGTGGCTTCAAAATCTACAGAATGTGACATTAAGATGCATGAATCGCTGGTAAAGTACACTATAACTGCATGCGTCTGAGCCATAGAGCTTCAAGGGAGCACTGAGCTTTCTGATTTCAAAAGGGTGAGCTCTTTGCCTACTGTTCCCAGGCCCTTTGTCATACAGAAGAATTTTTAACAGCAAGGCTGGGTCTTCGGTATCCCGCGGTGACATCAATGGGGCATTTGTAAGTGGACTGTGAGATGTCAGGAGACACCATCAGCAAAGTCAAGTTAATGTTTCCAGAAGTAGCCCGGGGACCTGTATGGAAATGTCAGGTTTAACAATTACAGGCCAAGACTTTTCAAGGTAATTATGGACGCATGAAGTGTAGCTGCCTCTTCCCAGACGGGGAGCCAAAGTTTTTTAAACTGTTGTGCAGTTTAATTTTAAAATACCTTTCTTCTGGTGCTGTGGTACACAGCCTGACACATCGACATGCACTTGCCAAAGAGCAGATTACAGAAAGGTTTTGTAGTTGTTTTTTTTTTAAATAGATGGTAACATATGATGTTGTTCTCGTGATGTCAGTTTTCTAAGCCCCCTGAACCCCAGAGCTGCCTGTTGTGTACTGTACACGTCAGAGACTGAGGCTGCAGGCTACTCTCCAGCTCGGGCTACTCCAGCTGGGTTCAATTTGCGCCTGGGTGGGCTCCGGTCTTCATCACGGATTACCGCAGGGTCTGTGCGAGCTCAGCCTGTCTGACACGCATTCCCAGGGAGCGCCCTTGCCACTACTGTTTCCTGTCCTTCTCCCGCTTCAGTCGAGCACAGGACATTCATCCTCAAATATGACGGGAAAATACTGTTTCTACTGCGCTCAAATGAACATGCAAAACCAGTGGGCTACCACCCAAGATAAACTTTCTGAATTGTGTGCACTTCACAGTAGTTCAGCAAGCTGTTGTTTAAATTTGATACACAAGGTGCTTTTGCTTTTGAGTTTTACAGTTAAAATAAAATTATTTAAAAAACCACAGGACTTATGTTGTCTTGTTTTTTTGGTGGTGGTGTTTAAGCTCAAGGTTTTAAAGCTAACGGTGATGAGGGATTTGGCGTAAGGACGAAGGGGGGGTTTTGAAACCGGTTGCCTTGTACCCCCTTAGGCAGTGCTGGTATTTAGAAGACGTTTCCTGTAGTTCGTGATATAAAGTAAACCCATTTAAATGATTGATTGTTTATTAGGGTTTTTTCAACATCCCCCAGTCTCACTGTATGAGATCCTGCTTTAATATTGAAGTTGCTTCACTTCAAAAGTAGATCATAGCAAGTAAAAGACCTAACTTTTTTGCATAAATCTCTTTTAATGAAAAAACTTCTCAAAACGAATTATGTACATTACGAATTTAACCATATAAACACTAATGCCATATTGTGAGGAGCTACGTTCCTATTAAAAATGTATGCACAAGATGTTTAACATTTAGGGACTGGTTACATTTTACACTCACTTCCAGATACAGTTCACTGGGCTGGCTAATGGCTCTGTCCTGCGGCCCTTCAAGGGATCTCTGAGCAAACGATGACATGCTTGCCTTCAGTGGAGATTTAAAGGGTCTGACAGCCCTTGTGGGTGTTAATTTAAGAAGGAGTCATTTCAGAAAGTTAATGTTCACTTAAAAAGGTGAGTCACTGGGGGACTTTGCATTGATGGTCACCTAAGTTATTTCAATGTTAGATTTTGAGCATTTCAATTCTTAATGAAGTACATAGCGTACAAGTACATGTACTTACAACTCGTATAAGTTCATTAACTGTTGCATTCTTTAAAATGCCTTGAAACTTTGAAAATCTACCCTTTTATTTAAAAACTTTTAATCATGAACAATATTTTTGAAAGTTATTTTATACAAACTTTCAAAGCAACTGAAACTCGGAAAGTTACCAAGGATTGAGTATAATAAAACAATTGAATCCATTGAAGGATGAGACCAGTATAGTTACTCTGTGAGCTTGCTTGAATGTTAAAGAGCCTATTAGCAAAGTGTTTAATCCTATAATCTCCACTGGCTGCAGCTGGAGAGTAGCTGTGGTTGCTGGGTAAGAACAGAAGGTCTGGCCAGTCTCAGACAGACTAGGACAGGTGGGTTTCCTGCAGTGAGGTTAGCATGTGAAAGGCCACATCAGGACAGGGATTCCCAGTAGGACACAGCTTTGCTGGGCTGGTCACCATAGAATTAAGTTAATCACTGGTATAAAATGGTCCAAGCATGAAGATGTATAATAAGAATGGCTTCTTTGTGGGTTTACATTCTTCATTTCTCTGGATAGTGCTGTGTTACTGCAGATCACCTAAATCTTTGCTTCAGTTTTTTGATTAAAGAGATTTCTAGTTCTAGATATTCTCTTGCATATATTACACTGCTTATGTTATACTTGATTGTCTGTACCTTTCAATGTTTGCTTCAGCACATGAAAAAAATGAACACCAAAAGTTGTAGGAAGTAAATTATTAGAATTTATTTTCCCTTTTTAACAAAACTATTCTGAGACAAAAGTCCTTGTCATGCTCTGCCAGTTTTCTTGTTTTTTAATTGTTATTAAAAGAGTATGTGGAGGTGAACCGTAACAAAACAATATAAAAAGAGCACACCCAAAAGAGATTACAGGACAATATAAAAAAAGAGTAGATTTGCATATTTACAGCAGATAATACTGCTGTGGATATTTCATGCCAACAAATAGCCTAGAGTTTGCATATCCTTATAAATGTTTGACACTGCAACGATATGCCATACGCTCATAGCTGGAATGTTAAGTCTGACTGGAAAAGCAGAAGATGCCATTCCATAAGGAGCTGAAAATTTCTCAGGTTCATTGTAGTTGGCCTTCAGTTTTGTAAAGCAAGGGTCTTTCTATGTTAAATGACAACAGTATCAAAAATCAGCAAATTCTTTCAGATTTTCAAATGCTAAATCTTTTTTAAAACTTAGAATTGGTCTTCTCTTCCAGAAAACACATTTTGCAGTGGAGACCATGTGTCATGGCACAGTCCCTTAGACAACAGTGAATCCCGCATCCAGCACATGCTGCTCACAGAGGACCCCCAGTTACAGCCGGTGCAGACCCCCTTTGGAGTCATCACTTTCCTGCAGGTGAGTCATTTAGTGCCAAACGTCTGTCTTCATCTTAAAGACTTTTAACAACAATGTTACCACCATATAGGCTGATGGCATCAGATCTCAGAAACCTACCAAGACTGGAATGACCTTCCTCAGACTATGCAAGGGACAAATTCATTAACTTTCTTCAAATCTATGCTTTAAACTCTCCTTTTTTTACTCGGGTCTGTCTCTGATTGCCCTACATTGCATCTGTATAAGCCTGTATAAATATTTTTTCTTTCAATTTTTATTGTACTTTTTTATCACCATGTACAGCGTGCTTGGGTTTGGAAAGGCTCTTTTAAGGAAGTGGTGTCAGTGGACTAGCCAATACCCCACTATTAAGAATGGAGGACACTGCTGTGGGAGTCATTAAACATCTCAAGATAATTTTAGACAGAGTGCATAAGCTATGCGCTTCTGGATTAATTCTACTATCTGGTTTCCTTAATACAAAACAATTCCAGAAAATACCTCAAAGAGTTTGGCTATTTATTTAATTGGTGGAGTAGTTTGTCACTTCTCTATCTTACATGCTGTGCAGTGGGGCTGCTGCATGTCACCCGGTTGGGCTGCACTGCACTGGTCAGTGACGTTTTTCCCCTCCTCTACAGAAAGTGTTTTGGGATGAACAGTGCTTAACAGCTTCCACATCCTTGTATCCTTATATGTAAAAAGATGTATTATATGTATCTCAGTTCAGAGATGTCCACAGCGTTATCCACTTTGCATCTCTTAAGTTGGAAATGTTACCAATCATCTTTAAACTTTGAAGACCTTACCTAAAAATTCATACAGCTTCAACACTGAGATATCAGCCAGATTTTTCAAGTTTTTCAAGTTTGTATCGGGAAATGGCAATTAAAATGTGTATCTTACCGCATGAGCCCTTTTAAGTGAATTGTCAATATCTCCAGAACAAATCCTCCTCACTGCTGCTGGTGACTTAATGCTGCAATGTAGGTGGCACAAGGCCATGCTTGTGCTGCAAGCCGCTCTCTAGCATCCATCTGTGTTACCAGAAAGCCACTTATGTCTGACACAGGTCGCAGCAATAGGGAGCCCATCACTTAAGTAGGGCACAAATACACCCCGGGTCGACAGCCAGTCCATCACTGTCACAGGCGGGCAGTTTAGAGGAAGGCAGAACGCCTACAGACACTCTGGAGAAAATAGGCGAATTTGACACAGAAGGTGCCCTAGATAGAACCCTGGATCATGCAGCTTTGAGCCACCAGTGCTAACTACCAGGCAACTGTTCCACCCCCCTTAGAAACATGGATTTTCTTCCATTATTCAGAAGGCAGGTTTTGTGTAATAAAACATACACTAAAACGTAAATCTTAAATCTACCGATTTATCATAAACATTCATAATGCGAATTAAAGGTTCTTTCAATGGTGTTGATGCAGTTATTTAATGAAGATTTTAAAAATTGGGCTGTTCAGCAACGGAGTTTTGACTCCCCTGGTCCACAGTCATGTGCTGTATCCTACCCACCCTCCCACTCTCCCCAGATCGTTGGCGTTTGTACTGAGGAGCTGCAGGCGGCCCAGCAGTGGAACGGCCAGGGGATCCTCGACTTGTTACGCGGTGTCAGTGTGTAAGTCATGTCCTTTTGAAGCCCATTTTATTTTTTGTGTGTCAGATTTGATTTCCTGGTTTTTAATTCAACTGGGTGTCCGAGAATGTACAGTGCAGTCCATAAGGATTTGGACAATGACACAATTTTTGCTGTTTTGGCTCTGTACTCCAGCATATTGGATTTGAAATAAAACAATGACTATGAGTTAGAATTCAGAATGTCAGCTTTAATTTGAGGGTATTTACATCTATATTGGGTGAACCATATAGGAATCACAGCCCTTTTTAAAAATAGACCCCCCATTTCTTGGGACCAAAAGTAATTGGACACATTAACATAATCTTAAATAAAGTTTAACACCTAAAATATGACACCTGAAGAAGGCTCCACAGCCAAAACGTTTTTTCCTTTCTTTTCATTCTAGCATGGAATAAACCCGTTACCTGTTCCTTAAATAAAATCTGGCATGTTTGCAAATCCTTTGCAGTTGATGACTGCCTGAAGTCTGCGACCCATTGGCATCACCAAATGTTGGGTACCTTTCCTGGTGGTGCTCTGCCGGGCGTGTAATTCAGCCATTTTCAGTTCCTGCTTGTTTCGGGGGCTTTTTGCTTTCAGTCTTGTCTTCAGTATGTGAAATGCATGCTCAGTGGGATTCAGGTCGGGTGACTGACTTGGCCAGTCAAATACATTCCACTTTTTGTCCCTGAAAAACTCCATAGTTTCTTTAGTAGTATGTTTGGGGTCATTGTCCTGCTACAAGGTGAAGCACCGTCCAGTGAGTTTTGAAGCATTTGGTTGGATCTGAGGAGATAAGATGCTTCTGTACACTTCAGAATCCATCCTGCTGCTGCTGTCTGCAGTCCCATCATCAGTAAAGACAAGTGAGCCAGTTCCACAGGCAGCCATACATGCCCAAGCCATCACACTACCTTCACCATGTTTCACAGATGAGGTGGATATTTGGATTATGAGTAGTTCCTTTTTTCTCCACACTTTTCTCTTTCCCTCACTCTGGTACAGGTTAATCTTCGTCTCATGTGTCCACAAGGCTTTGCGCCAGAACTCTAGAGGCTTTTTTTTACCTGGCCTTTCTGTGGTAAGGTTTGCACCTTGTAGTGAACCCTCTGAGATTATTCTGGTGTATTCTTCTCTGTATGGTAGTCTTTGACACATTTATACATGATGGAGAATGTTCCTGATCTGTTCAGCAGTTGAAAAGGGGTTTTTCTTCACGATTGAAAGTATTCTTCGGTCATCCATTACTGTGGTCTTCTGTCGTCTAGGAGGTCGTTTGCTATTGCTAAGCTCACCAGTGCGTTCTTGCTTCTTAATGCACCAAACAGTTGATTTTGACACACCTAATGTTTTGGCTATGTCTCGGATTGATTTATTCTCATTTTTCAGCCTCATGATGGCCTGCTTTAATGGCCTTAACGTTTCTTTGGTCCTCATGTCGAGAAACAACAACAACAAATGCCACATCTAGAATCAAATGCCACATCTAGAATCAAATGCCACATCTAGAATCAACTAGTTAGGGCTCTTGTGCATGAACTAATGATGCAACAACACACAGCTGGCCGAGAAAAGACTGAGCAGCCAATTGTCCAATTACTTTTGGTTCCCTAAAATGGTAAGACTGTATAAAAAGGGCTGTGATTCCTATATGGTTCACCCAATACAGATGTAAATACCCTCGAACTAAAGCTGACATTCTGCACTTTAAACTCATTGTCATTGTTTCATTTCAAATACAATTTGCTGGAGTACAGAGCCAAAACAACAAAAATTGTGTCACTGTGCAAATAGTTACGGACTGCACTGTATGTCAGTTGTTCAGCTAATAGGTGCAGATGAATTCTGGACTTATTTCTACCACCTTGTTTCCTGTTATTAAAGCTATATCAGTACTTTTCTTATCCTTTAATCTTCCTGGTGTTTTCTTCTTTAGACCAAAGTAACGGCTCCATAGTTTTTGCTGGGAAGGCGAGGAATAATATGCTGACAGTAACTCAATAAAGCAGGGTTCTACTTGCAAAATTCCCTAAGTTTAGCATATGGAGTAATTTTTCTCATTTATTGTTGTGACAGACGTTCTTTGTAAATGTATTGTCCGAAAGATTGTCGGCCAAATTCCAGGCAGATTTGTAAATACAGACAGCTAAAAAATGATATATTTTGTGGCACAATTTATGTGCACCTATTAGCTGAACGACTGACATCTGTTCTTGTTTCTTGGGATCTTTTTTTCTGCTCTCAGTCAGACGCCCAATGTAATTAAAATGTGGAATTGAGCCTGAGCCTTACACTGCACCTAAAAATATATATACCATTTCTTAATGTGACAAGTTAGTTCTCACTGTAACATGCGTGGGAGCATTCAGCAACAGGAGACTTGATGGTGTGTTGGAGACGGTACACACTGCACATAAACCTCCTTGTGTGCTGGGGTGAAGGTGAGTCACCTGGGTGTCAAGATAGCTGAAGGATCTGTCTGTGTTCTTCCAGTCCCCCAGCTATCTCCTGGGTTCTTCCTTACAGATGTTTCAAATATCTCAAATAGCTCTGCTTGAGTTAATGTAAAATTAAATCAATAAACATTTTAAAAAAATCAATTAAGCTACTGTGCCAAAATGCTGAGAATCTGTAAGGAAACTGTTCTTACATTTAAGAAAATGATTTATCTATGATTTCACCCTGCAGTAAAAACTATTTTCAAAAGCATAGACAATTTATTTGTCACCTTGAAGACTCTAGAAAAACATGTCTAATGGTATGCTCTCCCAAGAAAAAGTAAATGCATTTCCTTGCTTCAAACAGAAATTATTTCAATGGCCATTGAAGATAACTGAAGTAACTTCGGATTGCAGGAGCAACATAACCAGAATATATTTTTAATGGTACTTACAAGACATAAATTACATTTACATTGAAAAAGATCACTGAGAGTAAAAAGGACCAAACACAGCTGCACAACGAAGATGCATCTGTGGGTGGGCACATGACCCCACAGTTTTTCACACCAATCACCACTCCCCACTAAAGTCTCCTTTCACCATTTATATGATCTGATAAACATTAACAAACATTAAATCTAAAACCTTAGCTACCTAAACGCGTCTTACATGAGTAAATGTCAATTCCAACTCAGTTACACGACCCCCTGGTTTTCATTCATTCTTACGGAGAATTTTTAATTGATGCATTTTTTTAAATAAATGGCATTTGTCATGAATGCGTTCGAAATGGAGAAGTATTTGTTCTTTATTAAATCAAATGTTTTTTATTGTTTTGTGGACAATTTAACTGTCTTATTTTCTACTGTCCTCAGAAAACAATGAAAAATGGCAAAATATTAAAAATGTTGCACCAATGCAGGGAAGCATCCATTAAGATCGGGTTAAAGATCATAGGTTTGAATTCTTCCCGTAGATATGGAATAATTATTTTCCACAGAAATTATTTCATTGTTCCAAATTTTAATTTATTGAAATAATTTGAATTCATAGATCTCTGAATATATAGAACCGTAATTACCAGTCTGAGCAAACTCAACTACTTGTGCCAGTATCTAATCTTTTCTTCCTCTTTCCTGTGAAGTGCCGGAGGCCCTTGGCTGATCACAGACATGAGGAGAGGCGAGACTATATTTGACATTGACCCACACCTACAAGTAAGGCCTTGAATAGAGCAATATTCCTGTGTGTGCATACATTATTAATGGAAGCACAGTGCTCCCCTCTGCTGGTGATGTTTCTCTTTGCACTTTATCTTTTCAAGCTGAGCAAAAAGGCTTGCAAATACTCACCCAGTTTTTTTTTACTGGCAAATAAAGAACCCAAATTAATTCGCAGCAAGGATCTGATTGTTTAAACGCAGAAACGCCCATCCTCTGTGGTGGATGGAGTGACTTCAGTGTACTTGGAATGCATTCTCCTGCCTGGACCTGTGGTGATTTTCCCCGTTTTCCCCGTTTACTTCAAGCAGGAGAGGGTGGACAAGGGGATTGAGACCGACGGCTCGAACCTGAGTGGTGTCAGTGCTAAGTGCGCCTGGGATGACCTGAGCCGACCCCCAGAAGACGAGGATGACAGCAGAAGCATCTGTATCGGATCACAGCCTCGCCGCCTGTCTGAGAAAGGTCAGGACACTCGCCTCTGTGTGACCAAGGAGGTAGAGAGTTTGCAAAACGGACACTGCAGAGGAGCTGGGAAACTCCAGGGGCACTGCTGCAGACTTACTCTGTATACATCTTTCTATTCAGACTTACCTTTTCTCTCAATTTTCCAAAAGTCACTGTAAAAGTTCATGGCAAATATTTCCAAAGAGGCTGGATTTTTGGAGAGCTGGGCTCTTCATTTATTTGTAGCACTCATGGTTTTGAAATTGTAGCTAGGATTAAAATGTAGATGGAAAATGTGGAGGTAAGTCTCCATTACAGCAGTACATTTAAAAGTTGTCTGATTTAAATGCAGAAAGGTTGTTTAAAAAATAAGACCATTCTCATACCCGAAGAAGGCTCCACAGCCGAAATGTCAGCATGGAATAAATCTACGTGTTCCTAAAACTAAGACTTAATTCAAATCCTGGTTCACAATTGACCATGGAAATATTGAAATGTGAGCGATATGAGTTTTCTGGAAATGCCAAAGCTTATTTTAAAAAAAATGAAAAATGCACATGGAATTCATACATCATGCCTTTGTGGATGATTGTCCTTGATGTTTCTAAGGAAGTCTGCATCATTTTTTAATTTATTCCTGTTTGTTCTCTGTTGCCAGGATGGAATGCTCAATGTGTATAACTTAGGATAGTGTGATTGTACAGCTGTGCTGGGCGATAGCTTGCCATTTTCCCATCTGTGTCATGGCTAATATTTGCACTGCTGAAAAAGCGTTTACTTCTTCTTAATTTGGTTGATTGGATATTTTGGCTGTGGCCTTCACAAGGACAGTCTCGATTGCTGACTGAATCTGGATTCATGGGTGAAACAAATTCTTTCAGATTTTATATTTTATTGGGTGGAGGAAAAGAATATAAACACAAAGGTGTTAACAATAAGAAAGAAAGGGTAGTTAACTGGATTCTGTAGGTGGGAGAAAGTATCATTTTGTTGGTTTTTAACGCTTTCACAACGTACCTAAGGTGTAATTTTTCCCATTAGAACAGAAGGATTCCCTGAACCTTGTAGATTTTTTTTCTGCAGTTAGACCCCAAGCAAAAGACACTGTGCGTGAAGATGGATGGTAACTTGGGAATCATCAGTGAGAGGTCAAGATCTAATAGGTACAGTCACAGCAGTCACGTCCATAAACAGGAGTCACATACAGTACATTTATGCAGAAACGCTGTTCCAGGACACTCCCAGAACATGTTGTAGAACAGGTGGGTGGAGAGCAGGGGCTCTCCCAGCGCACCTTCCATGGGGAATGTGGGGAGCCTGTTTCGTTCACGCCTGCCACTGCGACCTCGCATCTACTCTGAAACAGTGGAAAGGTTTCGGTTATGTGACAGCGAGCATATGTGACAGGGTTATGTGACAGGGGCGGAGCGGTGGCTCTGTGGCTAAGGATCTGCACCTGTGGCTGAAAGGTTCAAATCCCGCAGCCGCCAGAAGAATCCTACTCCATTGGGCTCCTGAGCAAGGCCCTTAACCCCAACTGCTCCAGGGGCGCTGTACAATGGCTGACCCTGTGCTCTGACCCCAAGCTTCTCTCCCTGTCTGTGTGTCTCATGGAGAGCAAGCTGGGATATGCGAAAAGACAAATTCCTAATGCAAGGAATTGTAAAGGGTTAATAAAGTGATATTATTATTATTATTATTATTATTATTATTATTATTATTATATGTTGTTTGTGTCTGAAAGTGGCAAAATCAATTGAGGACACGACAGCTTTTTGAAACCGCCTGAATTGATTTTTGGTGTGTTTGCCCTTAGACACAGAGCAGATCAGAGAGGCCCTGCGGAAGGGATTGGAGATCAACAGCAAACCCGTTTTACCTCCCATCAGTGGCCAGAGGCAGAACCATGACCGGCCACAGTAAGTCTGTTTTATTGGGGTTTTTTTTTATTTAACCGCAGTGCAGCAGCTGTTGCCAGTGTTCCCGACAACTGTAGTACATTTCTGTTTACTGTCTGGAGCCGTCGGAGAGGATCTGTATTTAACGAGCCTGACTGCGGTGGAGATTGTGGTGTCTTGATGCAAGCCAGAAACGTAACACCCTGCGCTGGCTCTGTCTTCTGTCTGCTGGTGGTAGAGGGCAGCAGGATGGCCTAAACAAAAGCCGTGACGTGCTTCTCCTGCAGGAATGGGAGATTGACGAAGATGTCATTGTGCAACAGAGACATTCGTATTATTCATTTATATAATATATAAAGGTCATGTGTAACAAGAAACTTGTGATTATGGAATCTATTATTATTATTTGAAATTGCTAACATAATGTAGCAATAAAAAGTTAAACTAGTTTGATCACTTTGGTCCATCGTCATGTGGCTTTTAGTGCTGCTTTAGGGCTCTCAGGTCCTGGGCTGGAATCTGAAATGGGCCACTTTATGTGTGGAGTTTGCTGCTTCTACATGGGTTTCTGTGGTGCACTAGTTTCCTCCAGGCTTTCAAAGACACGCTAACTGGGTTACTTTATTTAGTGACCCAAATTGTCTCTGTCTGCACACGGGGAAGCCTATGCATCTGATCTGGCATGGGCTGGTGTCCCATACAAGATGCCCCCGGGTCACTGCGACCCTTACCAGGGATAAACGACTGATCATGGGTGACCCTGGAGACACTGTCACACTATCACATGAAGTGGTAGCCCCCCCCCCACACACACACACAACTACTTTTGTCCCTTCAAATGATCCATATTTATCGTTAAAACTATGGGAACCTAATTTGGGATTAGTTTCGTTTTCTAGTTTAAATGGAGGCAAAGGTAAAACCAGACGATTTCCCAGTGTTGATTCTAGACCTTCCCCAGCGTCTATTTTGGTTTCTGTTCCGAGATCAGACCCCAGAAAGGGGCCAGGCCTTGCGATTAACAAAGGACTGTTGGAGTGGGGGGAAAGAAAGAAATGAAAAAGAAAAGAAATAAAACAAAACAAATCATGATCAGAATCAACACTGTAGAGGGATGCAAATGAAAAGTTGTAAGTAAAACTGACGTGCTGCATTATGGTCTCAAAAGCATAGGCTTGTAAACTTGGATGGTTTAAATTTACATCTACCTTTCCTTCTGACTTGCTGCTTGGCATTTATCGTTAATCTACTGTATTTGAAAACTTTCAAATGCAATAAAAGTCACACCTATCTGGCTTGCATTGTATATAAATGCACCAAGCAGCTGATAACTTGAGTTGCTTGTTAAGCTAAAATGATGTTGCAGCACAAAAACAGACGGCCAATAATGAGATCTTCAGGGACGTGTGAGGGAGACTTTAAAAAATGTTTGGAGTTGGGTTTTTTTTTTTCAAAAACCTATTAAAATGGCAGAATTGTCAAATGAGCTATGCAGTGGGAGTATTACTATTAAAAAGAAATGTTGCATGTTGCTTTTAATCTGGAAGGAGCATTTCTGATGTTTTTCTGCAGAAATGGGAGGAACAAAGTAAAATGATTAAGTGCCTGTCTAGCTAGTCTCCCTGTCTGTCCTGGCTTGGTGTTTGCTGTGTGTTGCAGATTGGCACTGAACAGGCCTGTTCAGCCCCCCTCCTCCTTCGGCAGCCATTTCTGGTAGTTTGCATTAGTCCCAGGGTGTTGGAAACCAACATTAACATTTGCTCTGTGGATAAAAAGTCTCTGAAGAGAAGTTGTCTTCTACTAAAATTCAGAGCGAAACTTAAAAAGTGACCTTTTGTATACAAAATATTCATTTTCATTCTTCATATGCACATTAATTGCTAAAGTAGCTAATCTCTAAAATGCAGCATTTTTTCAGCATAGTTAGAAATAGCATCTGTGGCACAAGTTGTAAACTGTGATGTTTTTTTTCCATATACCTCTACAAAGCCACAGATAGAATCTGTGCACTGCATGGACTTCCGTATCTCCCATTATATAACTTGGCAGCTAAAAAGGATTAAGGTACATTAGCCATAATTCAGGGATCAGGTTCCAGTCCATAATCAAGGATTTTACCTTTTCTCTTCAGCTTTAAGTCACTAAGGACCTGCTGGGGTAGAACATATCTACAATTTTTTCTTCCTGGAACACTGTAATCTAATTTGCTGCCAAATTGTTATTAAAAATCAAAAAGGCTTCACTCAGACCTTAAAGGTAGTGAGGTCCACGTTATATGAATCTGAACTTGTGGAAGCCAATAACATGTCTGAGACATTTTGTTTAAGAGGGGAGGGGATGGATTCCTGCGTTCCTCTTGTCAGAGATATTTCCTATTACCTTTGTTGAACAGCTGATTTGTGGAGGTCCCAGGGAGTCTTGAGCTTCCTACTTGTATTCACTCACCTGACCAACCTCGAAGGTTACACTGGATCGGGTAACAGCAAGCAGTGGATCATTGCCTGAAGACTTGTGAGCAAGAACCACCATCCTGGCCCCTAGCCTTCTGTTGCTATGTTACAGCAGGTTTAATAAAATTAAGATAAACAGGTTCTATACTAGCTTACTGAAATAATTCACCACCTTTATTCAAAGGCAGCATAAGATGTTTCTTCTGGTCTTGCACAGATCTTGCCTACAATGTGAGTAAAACTCAGGCAAGGAAATCTGAACTCTACACCAATCAGGTTAATGAGTGGTTTGAAGACCACAAACTACTTGTCCTTTGAAGACACGAGCATCTGGAAACAGCCCCTACTGTTTCCTTTTCTGGGTCAAAGGACATGATGTTCAGCTAGTATGTTTTGGATGTAATTGGAAATTGTGTATTTTGATTGTGTCATAAGCTCTTGAAGGTGCTTAATCTGAATTTGCGAGCCTGTGAGCTAACAGTACTGTACTCCTGATAAATTGAGAGAGATCTGCTATTTTCAAAGGTGACAAAAGTCTTTTTTCATTCTTGCACAAGAACACCTCCTGTGATAATCTGTGGGATATGCAGCTTGTTCTTTCCAAAATTGACATTAACTGAATTCCTGTACTTTGATCGGTAATTTCCATAGTTTAAGATGTCAGAAAAGCTTTTCACAAGTGTTTGGTCTGATGATATTGCGGTTATTTGTAGATGACCTTGATTTAGTTTCATGGTGTTGCCATGGAGTGTCCCTCTCTCCCATCCACACACTTAGACTTAAGCGGTTCCATTTCCAAGCGATCCTGGCTTTGATTATTTGTAGTTGCCTAGAAACACGAATCATGCGATGTTGAACATTTACATTAAGTGTAGATTGTCATCCCACAAAGCTTCTCAATCCACCAAAACATGAGGCTTTGCAGCAAACATTAAATATTTCTGTCTTCGAACATCTCCACAGGATCAAATGCTGACCGATCATGTCAAAAATAATGCTGTGTGCAAATGCACCCTGTCTATTTGATATGGACTGTGCACAGTGAACAGCTGTATCGGCTGTCTGGCTTCGCCATGTGATGCCAGCCTCTCGGCTCGGCATCGCGGGGCCTCAGTGGGGATCTTTCAGCTGCTTCCCCTGCTAGGAAATATGGGAGGTGTTTTTTATAGTGTAGATGACCTTTAGTTAAATCCACCTGAAAGATTTAAATTGTGAAATGATCTTTCCCATATTTAATTAGCTCTCAAATGTACTTGATTTTACCTCTGAACACCTGGAATCCAGGCGGAACGTTGGTGTGCACATGGAAGCCATTTCTGGATTCCTGCGTTCAGGAGGAAGTACAATTCAGGGAGATAAAACTGAGCATTTGCTGTCTAGGATGTTTACCCTTAGTTGCTCAGTCTAACAGGTGTCCTCCAGCTTCATTTTTAAAGGTAAGCATTGAGAATTCTAGTAGTCTGTACAGAGATGGCTTTGCAAGCCGTTTTCTCCAGCTGTTGAGGATAGAGGACCTCTGCAGGCTCTTGTACTGCAGATCAGAGGTGCTGCCAGGCAGTCAGGGCTGCTCTGTGGTGCCATCTGGTGGGCACTTATGCTATCATTTCTGCTCTCAGTGAGTAATCCAAAGTAGAGAATACCCTTTTCCCCAAACTCTACATGACATAACTACTTGTTAGAATACAGAATGATTTTTTTCCCTTCTCTGAACTCTCTTTTTAGGAATGTTTTAGTTTTATACTCCAGTGTCAACTTCCTTATAGAATGTTTAGCTGCAGGAGTTTTCCAGCTGGTTATGAACCATTCATTTAAATGAATTTAAACCATTTAGCATTTAAATGATGCCCATTCAGTGTGTTAATTTTCTTGAAGGATGTTTGTAGAAAGTAGATTGAACTAAAGAGATTTTAACCTGTTTTTAATTAATGACCTTGGAAGGCAACTACTTGAAACCTTCTCTTGGCAGTAGTATTACTTGTTATAGATCATATATTTTTGACTTTGCTCTAGTACAGATCTCCCCCTAATTTCTCCATAGACAATCAGTGGGCCACTTGCAGAACCAGCAGACTTCAAGGTAAGCGCAACCCATGAAGAAAATACACATCATTCTTGCTCATTGTGACATCTCAGAAAGAACGGCGCTTTTTGTTAATGATTCTCTGACGGTTCAGCTCATGGACGAAGGCTGGAGTTAGATTTTAAAAACTGGGGTGGGGGGTTAGTATGGAAAGTCACACTTGATTGTTGGGTTTTTTTGCAGAGCCATCAACAGACTGTCATAAGATTTTGCTGCAGTGGATTTTGCAAACATATCTTGGAGAATTGGTCTAAAACAAATCCTCAGAGAGAAAACGTTTGCATCTGCCTTGTATATAAGTAATCCATGGTTTGAAGGCTACAGTAAAACTCCCCTGCATTGCAGAGTTAACACGGCAGGCTGTCAGCTCAGTAGTTCATTAACTGCATACCTAATGGAAGTTGTCCGGGGGGCTAATAAGGGCGCGGAGTTGATTTTACGTGTTTTCTCCGGAGAAGAGTTAGCAGGGGACTGATTGCTCAAGCTCATATTTTGTGCTGTTTTTACAAACTAAATTCAACTGACAATCATCCTTTCTTCTGTTCATTTTGGGGAGGTAGGCAGTGGAGGTGAAATTACATCCTGCAGGTGCAAAGCAGGGATTCAGACCATTAACTCTCCTCTCTGTCCCTGATGGAGAAGTATTGCTGACATTATAAACAAGGTTTTAATCATGTCCAGTGTTTTTGCTCAAGGACTGTTTTCATCTCAGTACCTATGCCTATATAATAGAGGTGCCCTGAAACTCAAAGATGTAAAGCTGGTATAGCAACCACAGGACCAGGTAGATTTATTAAGAGCTGTCTATTGAGAGTTCCATTCTTGCAATATATTGTTACACTAAGAAATCTGATCAACTTCACAAGCACTTTACTAGATTTGCCAGAAAAGGGGGAAAAACTTTCCAAGTGGAATAATTTTTGTTTTTGTATTTTCAAAAAGTTATGCCAGTCATCTTTTTTTTAAGGAAAGCCCAGAGTTTTGAGTCTACATTTATTTAAATGCTTCTGCCCAAGATATTTGGTTTAGTTATCTTTGCTAAACAGGTTCTGAATTTTCTATTCACATGTGTTAGTTAAATGGAACGTATGCAAGTGTTGGACATGACAGTCTGTTGAAAGTCTGGAGCCTCTTAGACTCAAGCAAATGCATGATGATGACGACTTTGGACCAGAACAGCAGCCCTGTGCACATGTGCACATGTACTAAACAAGACAAGGAGGAATGCAGTAAGGGTTTCATAGCGCTGGTCCGATGTGGCTGACAAGCTGTCCTCACATAGGCTTCAGATGAGGCAGAGAATGTTAATAGAGAAGTAACATGGGCATATGTGTATACAACTCTGCTGCCAGACTGAGACGTGAGCGTGGAGGGTGGACTGCATTTTTGCTGCACACAGTGAAGTGAATGTTTCCGAACAGCCAGTCCTCCTGTTGCATACTTTTCATATCCCATTATTCACTTACTGTAGTACTCCAGGCCTATTGTATTGAGACTAAATATAAGAAAGGCAGGGAGCCGCTTCCTCACGCAACCTGCGATGGAAAGAAAGCCTGAAGTCCTGAAGACGGCTCAGCAACCGAAATGGTTGCCTTTCTGCTTCTCGACGTGGAATTCATCTGCTTCTTATATGGAGAAAAGAACCAGATTAGTCATTTCGTTTTAGCAACCGTCGGATCACAACTCTCCAAGAATAGGTTCACACGGAAAGAAGCATGCACGGACAATTCTTAGTATTGTTCAGATTATTTTCTTCTGAATAAATCTGAAGAAAAAATGGCAGAAAATGGACCACGCTTGTTTGCAAAATGGTGCTGCTGATGTTGGTGTATACTCATGCTTTATTGCTGTATCCTTACATTGTGCCGTTCTTGACCAATTGCATTTGGTATACTTAACGTGTACTTGCATGTTTTTGGTCATTTGAGTTTTATCCAGATACTTCACAGAACTGCATGCTGGAGTAAGAGAGTAGAGTGGGTGTTGGTTCAGGATGCAGACTGTAAAGGGGATGAGTAGAAGTTAACATTTACTGCGCTGGCTCCTGTCAGCTTGTGTGCTTCTGTGGTGGGGAATAGGCATTTGGGTATTATAGTGTGACAGCAGTAGGGAGGCTGGACTCTCACCTCAGCAGGTCTGTATTGTGCATGGCAATCTGTTGACAGTGCAGTAGCACAGTAGAGTTGGCTTCATGGCAGTTTGTAAGCCTCAACAGACAGCAGAACTTTCAACTTTCATGAAGCAGATTTACCGGTTGAGAATTTAGTTACAGCTTAGCGTATTCACTTGTGCCACACAGCCGTATTCAAACAGTGAATTGAATGAATACTGCTTGATGGATATCATTTTGACTAATGACAATTCCATCACCTTATTCTGTGTGGGAGAGTGGGTGTCACTAGAGTTGGCGTGTGAAGTTTGTCATCACACATTACAGGGTATTGAGAGTGAAATGGCAGGGTCACGCCCTCGCATTCTGCGCCTCTTGTCCTGCAGCCAGTCTGGTTGACAGCACCAGCAGGTGACTGCAAATCGCCATTTTTAGTGGCTTTTCAGTTTTCTCTACTGAAAACTGAAGCCATGTTTTAATGCCTACACATAGAACAACACGGATGCCATTAGACGATACAGTGTTTTACAAGAGAAATTCTGCAAAGCCCGTTGATGATCACATGCCCCCTGAAGACCCCTAGGGAAAGATAGCATCTCCATGAAATAATGACCTTCACTTTGATGAAGGCAAGTGAACCCAGAGGAGCCCTAGTGTTTGGGAGAAAGCACACTGGTTCTGCTAAGCTTTACTTTCAGCCGCAGCTAAAAAAACAAACAAATAACTTCTGATTGTTTTCATGCATTTCAACAAAGATGAAAAGCAGGCTACTTGTCAGGCTTCTAAATAAGATACTGGTGAATTGCTCTTTTAAATTTGCTTTCCTAATTTTCTGTGGTTTAAAGGCATAGTCTGCATAGTCACATTTTAATGTCTGAATTACCTCATACCACTTAATCAAAACCTCCTTGAGATGCACAGGACTGTCTGACACTTTTGTTAGGGCTTTTCTGCTGCTTGAGATTATGATTACTTAATTTTAATGAATTAAACATTTCTCAGGACTATTTTAGGTATATGTTTTGAGTTAGATTTATGTACTATATTTCTGATAAATGTTCATTGTGATTGTTAGCGGATGAAATTAGTATTTTCATATCCAGCTTTTATCTTTTTTCCATAAAGGAAAGTTTTCAAAATGGATTCCCAGAAAAGTATGCCAAAAATAAGTGTCTTAATTACATTAGCATTGACGTTGGATGTATGTAGAGACATGTTGTATGTGTCATATGCGTCAACAAAAGTCTAAATGCAGTAACCATCTTCACCAAATGTCACCTTCTAAGAGTACTTAAATTTGCAGTGGACCTAACTAGACTCATGATAAACATTTTGTAAGCTTCCAGCCCTGCCCAGGCCAACCTCCCCCCGTAAACTACTGTGCTCCTCTTTTCAGGAGTCGCAAGGACAGTCTGGAGAGTGAGAGCTCTGCAGCCATCGTTCCCCATGAGCTGGTGCGCACCCGGCAGCTGGAGAGCGTGCACCTCAAGTTCAACCAGGAGTCCGGCACGCTCATCCCTCTGTGCCTGAGGTACCCCGGGCACTATTTATAAAGTGCAGGCATGCTTGTTAAAAATTTCATAACAGCTGTATGATAAGTGGAAACGTATGGGTTAAAGTACTTGCTCTCTTACTTGTGGCAATGAATGATCTTAGTCTTGTTCACTTATTCCTGCTTTTTTCTTACTGGTTCAGCTGCATACACCAGGTCCATATCCACCTGGAGCTGGACTGAAAACTGCACACAGAATTCTGGTAGAAGTGTTTAGTGTGCCTCACCTATAAGTTGTGTTTGAGGGACTGATGAGACAAAGCACATGTGAAAGCAGCTGCCTTGTCTTCATTGTTTTTTTTAACTGGGAAACAAGAGTAGCTCAGTATAAATTAAATGGGACATCTTAAACACTGTAGATGAAAAGCCCTAAGTATCAGTGAGATATAATAGTTTTTTACCCTATACCAAGGCTGGCAGAGTCCAAATATGTAGATAACCTGATGTTTTGAGGGATGTGTATTTATCTTCGCCTCTCCTTTTCTGGTATGCCTGTTGGAACAGTATGTTAACAACTGCTGATTACAGAAATCAGTTACAAGGAAAACGCCTGTTTCCATTTAATCTTTTACTGTGACTGAAATGGTTGTAATTTGGAAAAGGCTTACCACAGAAATGTATAGTCACTCCAGCACTCAGAGAATAGGTGTGTCAAACGTAAGTCTTGTGGTTCATTCCCACTTCAGTTAATTTAATTTTTTTGTGGGTGTTTACTTAATTGGTTATAGTAGTTCAGGTGGGTGGTTGCTTCAGCATGTGTAGGCTGCAAAGGAAAAAGTAATAGGTTTATTCCATGCTGAAAAGAGAAGAAAGAAAACACAACGTTTCGGACGTGGAGCCTTCTTCAGGTGTGAGAAAGACAGGGCAATCAGAAAGACAGAAAGATAACCTATTACTTGTTTAATTGGGTATAGTTTATAATGTTTTGTACTTTACTGTTTAAAATACATAGAATACTCGATTCTTACCAAAGTAACTAGAAAACATTGAAACTTCTTCCAAAGGTTTAAATTCCTGCACTTAACCACACTGATATCCCAGGGAAGAGGCCAAGAACTCATAGTGCTGCTTTAGTGTGGCACCGCTAGAGCAGGCCATCCCAGAGTGAAGTCCAGTTAGTGTAAACGTTGGCAGGTGCTTTTGATATCCCTTTATGCTGTTCTGCATTTAGAAGGTGATTCTGACAAGACAATTACAGCTGGCTTCCCGTTTTCACAAATGCTCAATGTTTCTTGGTATGAGCAAATATATTATGAGTAATTGCCATAATGAGAGGATTTTATCTGACTGTCTAATGTTCTCAGTACCAGTAAATGAACAATAATATCGCATTCAGATGATGCAGAACATTTGACAGTAACAGACTTTGGTCATCTTTTTGTGCAAGAGGAAATGGGATCGTGAGCGATCTAATGGAAAGTGTGAGGCACTTGTGGATTTTAGGGAACAGGGAAACTAAGGTTTCATTTTTGGAGATAAAGAGCAATGCAGGGACTTTTTTTCTGTTCTTGATGGGTGATGGGTTTGAGATTCAGGCACACGTGCTGTGCTGCAGATGGATCCCAGACAGAAGGGTGATCAGACAAGGCAGGCAGCTGTAGTGTTTCTTGCTCCCTCCCTGCAGGGGCCGGCTGCTTCATGGAAGACACTTCACCTACAAAAGCATTACTGGCGACACGGCGATCACCTTCGTGTCAACAGGAGTGGAGGGTGCCTTCGCCACAGAAGAGAACCCGTATGCTGCCCACGGGCCGTGGTTGCAGGTAAGATAGCTGCCAGGACGCCTGGCCCCCATCCAGGAGCATTTAGTTTCCCTTCCTCTAGTACCCTGAGATAATGTTCCCACTTGCATTTCAAATATGGAAATATAATTATCTGCCGTCAAAATACATTATTCTTCTCCACATCCAGCTGAAAGCCCTCTTAACGCGGTGGAGCATTCCTGGGCCTGTGGGAGTTGCTTCCTGCTGTGATCTGTGAGGTAGATCACACACAGCTATAAACAGTACAGACGTGGCTCCCACATGAGGAAAAATGCATCATAAACCCCAGGCAGCAGGATTCCAGTAACCACCGTTACATAAGGCAGACTCGAGCCAAGTCCGACCACTGGATCGGAGACCAGGAACAAAAAATAAAACCGGTTTCCCTCTTTCTCTGGCAAAGCAGCATGTTGTTGGGAGATTCATAATAAATGATCAGAGTTACAATTCAGTTTCCTTCCCTAAATTAACAGAACATGGTGCAGTGCTGACTACATTGGAAGGCACTGATTTAAAAAGTGGGCCATTCAAAAGAAGAGCCGCCTAGATGTGTCAGGATGCTGAACAGTGAAATATGAGAATTTAAAAATTGATCAGTCTAGCATAGTGGTTTAATCAGTTGAGTTCAAATGTTTATTTTTTCCAGATATTGCTAACTGAGGAGTTTGTAGAAAAAATGCTTGAAGATCTGGAAGATCTGACTGCACATGAGGAGGTAAATATGCCTTTATTTTACAAATATTGTAAATATTGAGTGGTGCCTTAGGGTATTGTATAATAAAGGATTTAATATTGGTTTCCTTAGTATATGCGGTTATTCAAGAGGGCCTTTGTTTTTACGAAGTGTTTGCAAAGTTTTATATTAAGGTTAGGTATATATTCTTCCCCTGTGTTCACATGGGTTTCCTCCAGATTCCTTCCACAGCCCAGAGACATATTGCTGGGTTAACTGGCTTCTGTAAATTGGCCCTGGTGTGAGTGTATGTTTGTGTGTGCCTTGTGGTGGACTGGCGTCCTGTCCAGGGTGTATCCCTCCTTGTGCCTGTTGCATGCTGGGACAGGCTCTGGTTCTCCCGGGACCCTGTGTAGGATGATGTATCATTAGTATCTTAATTTGCTGTAATCTGGAGATTTTAAGATTTTAATGAGCATTGTTCACACTAACCATAATCTTAAATAATCCTCTTGATTACCATTTACATATTCTTTATTGACATTCTATGAACCTTCAGTTGATTTCAGTAAATAGTAATCAAATATCTATTAAATATTAATTTGTGGAACTTAAAACGAGACTGTGTAATTGACCAAATTCCAGAATATGTATGGTTTTTGTTGAAGTACACAACCTGCTGTTTAGTTTTATTAAAAAGTCCCCCAATCTATTTTTTTAATGATTTTATTTTCCTCTCTAAAGCCTAAATTGCCGAAGGAGTACAGCTGGCCAGAGAAGAAGCTGAAAATCTCCATCTTGCCAGACTCAGTGTTCGACAGCCCTCTGCAGTAACGCAGAAGACTACGGTGCCAGACTGCAGCTCAGAGCTGACAAGGGGACCCTCCAACAGAGATGAGCAGACAGGCTGAAATCGCCCAGCCGCAACTTTGCTGTTTGTGTTGTAGCTGCCCTTGGGGCTGGGAATAGGTTCTTTCGAACACCTGATTGTCGACTCTGCCTTGCTGCCCTTTGTCTGAATACGTCATCCTTCTGCACTGGCTGTTTTCTCAGCAATCAGTTATTTTGATCCTAAACCAACAGTGTGTTTTGCCATTACTCTGGTTCAGTAAAACGCATTGTTCCAGGGTGTTTGGACTCCTATGTTCTTGAAGATCTCACTGAGAATGGCTATTAAGGTTTTTTCAGTGCAAGACAAACACTGGCTAGAGAATCCCATGTTGCGACAGAATGTTTGCAAAGTCTGCCAGGCAACACATGGACTGACCTCTTTTCCTGGGCTGGTCTGTAACATAAGAGCATTGATCTCCATTCAAAACACTGGGTAGCTGGATACAAAGTTTTCACATGGCAGTGCTGGACTGTGGGTTTACTACAAGTGACCAGAGTGAGGAGTCACCACATCTGACACTATTAAGTTCAGTGTCATCACCAAGGGCTGGGTATGCAGATCCCAAGCTACACGTGCAGCAGATTTCTAAACCATTCGTTAATCAGTGTTTTTTTCTAATATGTTGACTGAAGTGCAGACCATACAATTTTGTACCAAGTGCAATTTTGTATTTGTAAATTGAACCTTACGATCATGCCAAAGATGTATTCGTTTGGCAGGTTAACTTATTAGAATCAGTTTCATATCTGACATTATAATAATTTCTAGGAAATATTGCTTTTTACTCTTTCTTCTGTGACTTGACAAGCTGTTCACCTATTCAGTGCCTGGGCTGATGTAGGATCTTAAGGTTTACGGAGAAGTTCATGCTGATACTGTTCTCAGAACAGAGTGCCAAGTTGTCAAGGTCTAGGATTACAAATCACCATTTAACTGACTCGCTGTTAAAACCCACTGTATATGATCTTGTTTCTAGTTGAAGCAAGCACAAAATTCCTATTTCTGTATTGTAAAGGTCATTTTTATTTTCAATATTTAAAGTAATATTTTAACTCCTTTTGCTCTTTGAAGTGCTTCTCACACCTACAAATTCATTTTGAGGTAAGTGTACAAAACATTCCATAAAAGGAAAATTCTACACAGCCCTGACCTCCAACACTTTGCACTTCTCTTGACTTTAAAAAAAGAAAGTTGCAGATTCCTAGGTTATGGGCCCCAATATGTATATTCCAATAAATCCAGGACAGTCACAGCTCCTTTGTTTTAATCTAGTAACCCACTGAATAAATTATAATCCAAATATTTGGTATAATCTATCATAATCCACATTTGGCATTTAAATGAAGTTTGTGACACTGTGCTGATATTATTGAATTATCCATTTTAAGTGTATAAAGCAGTTTATAAAAATGAAGTTCCTCTACAAATGGTTTAGTGTTTCAGGATTACCTTAGCTGCATATGTGCCGGGTAATGTTTAACATGAAAATGCAAAAGCATTCTAAATTCTAAACCATTTAACTGTAGTTCCTCAAAACTGCAGTTCTCTTCCCATTAAAGAGTAAAAATATTTGCCAAAAGTATGTTACAGTGACTGTAAAAACTGTAATTCTGCTTTCCCTTGTGCAGTACATGCAGAGGGTAATCTACAATACTTCAGAATTTGTAAGATTAACAGTTAAGATTCTAACACATTACAGTATTTAAGTAGCCTCGAGAATAAGGTCTCGAGAGAGCTGGTCAAAGGAGCAGCAACAGCACAGCTGCAGCATTTTTGCAAACATTTAAAAAATGTTTATCTGAAAAATCAATAGAATGTCAAACCAGAAAGTCATTTGAAACATCCGTTTATCGTCAGTAAAATCTCCTTCCGTGTCTTTCAGTGGTATCAGACAAAGATGGATCATTTTGAAGGGAATCCTGTATTAAAATACACACTCTTAAACATGTTTCCTTGTTGAAAATGTGCTTTTGTTAGCATGTTGGTTCTGATCCTGGAGAAGCTGAGGGCTCTGTTAGAAGACAATACAGCCTGCATGTTTTGTGAGCTTCACTGCAGTCAGTGTGATAAAAATCATTCACAGTGCTAGCAGCAGGCGCCTGCCTGTATGTAGTTTCCAGTGCATTTAACGCTTAAGCAATAGTCTTCTTTACAAGAAGAATTGGTACTGCATGCAATTAAAAGGGAGAAAACAAATTTAATGGAACTTTGTCCTTTAGAATCAAATACAGTAACTTTGAGCAAAAGAGTAACACATTGCACTGAAACGTAGTGGAAAGATGCTTTAAGCCACATCAATGGTAAAAAAAAATATTTTTTTCTGAAAGAAAAATACTGAATGTTTTCTGGATCCCCAAACTGATCCTTTTCATAATAGTTTCAGCAATTAGTGTCAGAGAGAAAAAGAGGCTAGACAAAAACATTTGTGATTTTTGCAAGTATTTGAAATCATAGAATGACCACCACTTTGTATTAAGGGAAAAAACGGATTTGGCTCTAGTTAGTACTGTTCACATTCATTTAGGTATTTCAGCAGTGTTTTTAACTGTTTCTCTGACCAGTACTAAAACTCATTTAAATAAGGGACCTTTATGATATTATTTATGAAGGCTTGGTTATTACAATTGAGCGGTGACACTACAATTGAGCAGCTCCACCCCAGTTCTCCAGGTTTTCATTTCCATCCCTGCTCTTAATAACAAATGAGCTGGTCGTCAGCATAAAGAGGCCAGTTTACACTTTTGTAGCAACATCAGCTGTGGATTTAAAGAGACCTAGAAAACCTGTCGGATTCTGCATTTAAGAGGACTGGAGCTGTGTGTCTGAATTTCAGAGTGTCGTACAGCTCTGCACTTGCATATTTACTGATTGTGGGCCACCTATCAGTGGTCATAGAGTGACCACATGAAAGAGCTTATCAGACAGGCGAGGGAACCATTGACATACTGTTGAGGAGAGCTTCTGAAGTTGTAGTCCATCCAATCACTTCATTGCAGTACCTGAATACAACCAGCTCTTCCAGGTATTTGGAGAACTGGTTTTAGCAAAATTCTGTAATCGAGAAAAGCGGAAAGGCCACAGGCTGAGTAATCCAGATGTTGAGATGGGACTTTCAGCAAAACACTTTGATGGAGGACTAATCTTGTTTTCTTCTTTAGTTGATTTCTAATGAAAGTTCAGATCAGATATTTTAGGCACATTTGCCAAGTTTGAAGTAGTTTTAAGTTCTGGACTTGAGGCGTGTCTGAACACAGTCTGGGCTCCTACCTTGTTCAGTCAGCCCTGTAAAGCAGTGATTTTCATCCCCGACTCTGGAGAACCCTGATCTCCTCTGGTTCACAGTCCAACTGAGCTCTTCACAAAGCCTAATTGATGAAGACCTTTTTCAGTTCCTAGGAACTTGGTTGGGGTTATTAATTAGTATTAACCTGTTAACATTTTCTGAATTTCATACCTGCCCTCATGTAGGTAATTGGACCTCTGCAGAACAGTGTCTGACACAGGGCCACTGTCTGCACACACGTATTGGACATTAATATCTGTTAACAAGCATGCCGAGGAGTAAGCAAATGTTCTAATGAACGAATGAGTTGAATCAAACTTAAAACATAGCCGTGCTCCATGACCTGGGTTGAAAGCCAGTGATCTCTAGTCGATATGATCCTTGTTTGAGCCCAGGCTATCTGACTGTCTCAGGTAGGAATGGCTTTAGCTTGACACACAGCAGTGTGCAGCCAGGCAGTGGTGACATCACTCCTCCAGTTTGTACTAATGTACAAGGCACTGAGAAGATTGCAGTATGAAAAATGGCAGATCATTCAGACATGGGAAGCTTATCCCCACCGTGTTGGTATATTGCTTCTGGTTATGAGCCGAGTGTGACAACTGGGTAGACCTAATTGTGAGGCAAAAAAAGAAAGGTTCTGCATTTGAAAAAATTTAAAAACAGGCTAACATTTTTGAATCTTTGATGTTTCAAAGCAAACAATTAAATAGCTCCTAAATATTGAGATGTCAGGTGTTGAGGTTAACTTGCACTTTCAAGCAGGTAGCTGTGTCGGCATGCGTAGACTGCAAAGGAACAGGTAAAGGTTCCTTTCATGCTGCAAGGAAAAGAAGAGAGACAATATTTTGGCTATGGAGCCTTCTTCAGGTGAGGTAAGCGCCACAGCCAAAATAGTCTTTCTTTTCAGCATGGAGTAAACCTCGACCTGTAACTTGCACTGTCTCAAACTCGAGGGTGTCGACTTTCTCAATTGCCCTGAGGCAAGATTTAGTGGGGAAATTTGGCAGTGCCTTCTTGGAAGGGTGAATTCACACCTTCGAGTGCTGCTTCCATCTCTGAATCCCAGCCGTGATCTGCAGTATCGTGTCGGCGTTGCTGCTGCTGCTGCATGATAGCAGTCAGGGGCAGTGGATGACTTGCAAATAAAGCAACTCAATTGGGATGCAGAGCATTTTACATTTCTCCTGCCTCTGCCCTTGACTTGGCACTGCGTGGTACATACTGGGTCCTAGATGGATTTGTAGTCATGCACAGTGTATAGCATTTGGAATCCTTATTACATGGAATGCCAACTTCTATCTCCTGTGTTTCAGCACAATCTGGCAAAGAATCACTTTTCACTGGGAGTCGAACCACACTTAAACCTTTGGCTTTTACTCTTGTCAGAGTTGCTGGATTTTATTAGTCTTAATTCTGAATATTTTCACAGTTCGTTCAAATCTCGGATTTCTGAGAGAGAATGTTCAGCTTTCAATGGGGGAAAAGTAAAAACAGTTATGGACTGACTCCTGCTTATTTCTCAGCAGTGAGACTACAGAAGTTTTTCATTAGTTTTTTTTTTTAAATATTGTAGTTTAATGTAAAAAGTGACAGTATATTTTAGTGCAAGATGAATGCGCATCGACTTTTGTAATACTTGTTTTGTGAATCACTAAACTGCCCGTGTCTGTAATCCTAAGTGCATTAAAAACTATTTACAGAACATGTGTGGCTTGTCTTCTGCAGCTTTGGGATTCTGCTAGATTAAGGGTTTGTCGAGTCTGTGGTAAAATATGTTTTTCTAAAAAACCTTTCCAATTCAGTTTCTCCTTTTCTTTTCAGCTAGGGACTGCAAGGATTCAGCTTTTGCCTGTGTCCAGCCTGGTCTTCTGAAGTGATCTCCCAGAATAGCACCTAGGGATGCCCTTACATAGGAAATCTCATGCCTACCTAGGACTGCTCCCAGACTTCACACTGTTAGGCTATGATCTATTCAGGATAAAAACAGAAGTGCTAAATAAAAAAATACATTGATTCTGGCATCCTAGGACCTGTTCCTCTCACTAATCACTTGAGACTAAGAATATAAATGGACGTTTAAGCTACTGTTAGCTAAGTAACATAAAACAAATGAAACATTCAATTCTTTGCGTGTGTGGTATTGGGAAAAATAAAGTATTGGGAGTGTTTTAGTATTTTGATCACCTGGTCATGACAAGTTACCTTGTTGCAGAAATGTTAAATTGCCTCATTTGTGGGAGACAGATACAGTAGGCATATGATGTTTAGGTCATTTAACTTGTGGAACATCAAGCCTAGAGAGGAAATCTAGAAAAAAAACAATAGTTGTATTCTAGCCCCTGAGCAAGAGAATAATGCCTCTGTGGCATCAGTATGTTGTTGTAGCACTTCGGCAGAATATGCCAGCAGTGTGACACAGCCCCTTCAGTTGTGAAACTAGGTGTCGTGTTGCCCACCCTGAGCAGATGTCTGCAAGTGTGGCATATCCACAGAGAATGATAGCTCTGTGTACAGCAGACCAATCTATGGTGAGCTCCAAGTGTAAAGGGCTGGTCAGGTTGTTACAGATACTCCGCTTGTAGGAAGTGATGACAAACGGACTGCTACAGTAATTGAGCCCCAGGATGTCATTACTGCCCTTCCTTGAGGCTCAGGTTGATATGACAGAATTCCAGCTCAACAACACCCATCCTCTGGCCGCTCATGTAACAACAGCTTTCTTGTGAGCCCTGTGAAACCTCTGTGGGATGAGCTGGGACCAGTGAACAGGCACGTTTGACCAGGTTCTGTGAGAAAATGGGCCAGTCTCCCACTGCACAGCACCTGCTGACTGTTGCATCCATCACAGATCTGCAGTTTGTACTGCTTCCAACTGTGGCCCTACGTGCTACTAGCTCAAGCCTTTCACAACAGACCTCCTACAGATCGAGCATGTTGATTTGTTCATCAATATGATTGATTTTCGTACACCATGTATGCTGTATAGCCTGTTCTTTAGCTCTCGGCTCACAGCAGTACAGGAGAGAGGATGAGAAAGTGACCGCGTCGCAGGCAGCTCAGACTCTAATGGAGTTCAGTGCAGATTGGAGGAGAGAGGCTTCACAAGCCTGCAAGCACCCAGAAGGACTCACCCAAAATCAAACCAGCAACACCCCGGCCCCAGAGCCCAGCCTGCCTGCTGACAAGTGCCAACACTGGCTGAGTCTCTTGAGAGGTCCCAGTTTATGGATGTTAAATGTGATATACTTTTTATTCTTCATACATTGCTCTTTTGAGATCATGCAACTTTCGAGTTTCTCCAAGCTCCCTGGGTAGGCTCTTAGCCCCGTGCAAACACACAAACCACCTCCTTGGTGACAAATCATAATGCTAATTCAGATATTAGTCCATATGTTCAGCATCTTTTTCAAAGTATTCTATGCAAATCTGACTTCTGCAAGCTGTTAGCTTCATGAGATGACAAATATATATATCAAAATGCAAAGCAAGGCTGAGCACGTTGCTAAAACAGTTGCTGTTTTCACATCATCATCTTTATCTTTTGCTACCTAATTGATGTCTAGAATTTCAGTGTGCAAATTATCATGCCACACAGTCAATTTAGAGACACCAGTTAGACCCAGACCCAAAGAGATGCAGGGAGAACCTGCAGACTCCAAAGAGAAGGTATCACGGATTGGACATTCACCCAAGACCTAAAAGGAAGCCCATCTAACCACCATACCAAACGATGTCATTTCCACTCCAATAAATACCATCATGCAGTTGTCACGCATGGTGAAGTTTTTGAGCACTGTCTAGTTCTAGAGCAATATTTTAATCCATTCTTCATGACACGCACGCAAGACTGGTCATTCAGAAGAAATCTCAGAGCTCTGATCATTTTAGCAATGACTTTGGCTGTACAGGAATGGCAGAGCGGAATAAATTAGAATGAGCTGTGGCTCACGAAAGAGGACTACATGCTTGCGAAATAAACACAGCAGAATCAGAAACACGGCAGAAGGCAGCTGCCTGTCCTGAGGTGCAGTCAAGGCAGCTGGGTCTCCTCAAAAATCCAGTCTGCACTGCCCCTGCTGTCAAAGCAGCTCCAGCTTCCGAAGGCAAACACTAACCTGCCACCACTCGCAGATTCATGATTTGCAATGAATCAAATAAAACTGCCTTCATACCAAATGTAAAGGGATTCACCGAGTCTGAGAGGGGCTGCAGTTTCTGGTCTAGGGTTTAAGTTAATCGAGTCAATGAGTCATTGACTGTGCTCCATCAGAAGACCGCTCAGTCCTGGTAGGGGTTGTGATCACCCAGAGAGTATGCAGGATGTATATGGCTCAAGGCAGGACCACACACTCTGGAGGGAAGCCAGTCTATTGCATTGCACGCAGGGACAATCCAGAGATTGATTAACCCAGCCAACATGTCTGGAAGAGGAGGGGAAACCTGCCATAACAGATGATAAGATAAGGTCACTTTATTGGCCATATACAATCTCTTGCATTAGGAATTTGTCTTTTCGCACACCCCAGCTTGCTCTCCATGAGACACACAGGCACACAGACATGGAGAGAAGCTTGGGGTCAGAGCACAAGGTCAGCCATTTAGACAGCACCCCTGGAGCAGTTGGGGTTAAGGGCCTTGCTCAGGGGCCCAACAGAGTAGGATTCCTCTGCTGGCCGCGTGATTTGAACCAGCAACTTTCCAGAGCAACTGAGAAGCAAGAGCAAGAAGGACAAGTTTTGCAAATCTGGCTTTGCTAGAGAAAATATTATGTAGACCAGAGTGTATCTGCTAGGAACACGGTGTGGACAGTGGTGTGCGAGATTCCTGAATGCATGTTCCATCAAACTAACAAGTGTGAACCCAGTTTTCATTGCCCTTGAATATAAAGCTTCTATTCAGCAACAGTAGGGTGCAGCAAATTATGTGGAAGTGCATTCACAAAAAGTAGAATAAGAGGCCCTACTTTACTCAAAAGGTGGTAGGAGAATGGAACAAGGTATCCAGCCATGTTGTCTGTTGCTATTCCCTTGGCTTTTTTTATCTAGGTGAGGTCAACTACAGCAGCTCAATTAGCCACTATGGAATGGTCTAAATGTGCCAAATGGCTTCCTCTCATTTGCACATTTTCTTATATTTTTACAACTGATACTGAAACATTAAAATCGAGATAATGAGTGATTTCACAAGGCTTCATGAGACACTGCAATGCGTCTTATATACATCTTCTGATGCTCTCCTTAGTCAATAGTGGCCTTAACTATTGCCTTTGGCCAGGAATCGATGTCATCAGATGGAAGCTTCAGCTTTCATCAGACGTTTCGAAACGTCTCCACAGCTCCCTCCTGCCGGTGGGTCAGCAGTGACAGCCAGTCGCTGCTCGTCTCCTCCTGGCCCCCGGCCTAACTCCTCTCTCCTGCTCCAAAGCCGGCGTGAGGCTTTCTCTGCTGCCTCTCCCAGCCGTCTGTACCCCCCCCCCCAGGCAGCCCAACAGCTGTCAGCATTCTCCACACTGACATTGCAGGGAATCCTCTGCACTCAACCTCCTCAGGGAACAACCACATCTGCTGCCCTTCCCCTCGGCAGTCTCGCGCAAGATCTACATATTTGGCACTTTTCCTCTCAAAGGCCTCCTCGCATCATGCCTCCATGGCACTGTCAGCTCACTAAGGATGGTCTTCCTTGTCTCTGGGGACCACAACCCCACATCTGGCCCGAGGGATTTTTGTACAACCTCTGGAACCTGCAGTCTTTCTCCGAGTCAAAAAGGTCTAAATGTAAGCAACGAACAAGTGACACTGCGAGAAATTAAGAAGGAAATCTAACAACATCTAAAATAATACTGAAATGAACCTCAGTACAGTTTTGGACAACAATATTACTCAAAATAACAGAATCCTTTTCCACTTAAGGATGTGTTAATTAAACTTCAACTTCAAACCAATAAATGGCACAAGAATAGTTATGTTTATCAAGGTAAACATAGAAAGAAATGTAATTACAGGTGTTTTTCTCAAGGAATGTTTCACGCTCATTTCTCAAACTAATTAAGAGAAAATGATTGTGAATAATGTACAACTATCGAACAAACATGCACACTGGTTTTGCTTTGTATGATCAAATCTTTTAATTGATAATGGAGAAGGGAAGGCACGTTTTCTCTATATTTGGCAGAGTCTACCAAGGAATACTGAAAAACAAAGATCTGGACCAAGAATGTAGCTTCAGAATATGACTTGAAAATCGTCTCAGACAGATTTGCTGGAGACGAGTCCAGGCTAATAGAGAGATGGCAAGTGTATGAATTCGTCTTTACAGGGACGCCCGAGAATCAAAGCGTCTCTTCAACACCTGTTTGGTTTGTTTCTGGCATTTTCGGTGTGCATATGTGTACGTGTCCTTCTCTTCAAGGGATTGAAAACACCACACAGGCTTTCGAGCCGAGCAAGATTTCGTACTAAGACTCTTAGTAAGAGTTGTCAGCCCTGGTGGTAGCATACAAGTAACTAAACCAGATTCCAGTGACCCGGAGAGGGACTTGAAAGCAGGGCTAAATTAGTGCGTCATAACGGCCAGGGGCAAAGCAGGTCTGCGCCACCCACTCGCCAGCAGTCTCTGGGTAATCTGTTAACCAGCCCAACCAGCTCAGACTCGAGATTTGAGAGTTCAAGCGGTTCATGCGTGTCGGAAGTCCCTGCGAGGAGTGCGTCCTGTCATCCTGGCGAGGACACAACACGCAGCGCCAGGGCCATCCCTTCGCCGGATCTCGCTGCTTGGCTATGCACGGTGTGAGATAGCTTCCTGAGCACACTGGCTCGCCCTTACATAGGAACAGACCCGTGCTGGTAAATTACAGTGGGCTAAAATCTCAGTCTGGGTTTGCGGTCTGTCCCTTCGCCGCCCCAGCAGCCCGCACCTACACTGACACTTGTTAAAAAAAACACTCCTCTTACATCTTACCCTGATTTAGATCTACACGCCTTCCGGTGGCGTAACTTCAAGAAAAAAAAAAGAATTATTGAGAACACGCCGTGGTATGACACCTCCGGTAGCCGTTCGGAAATTCCCTTCTCCCGGATTCTAGAGGAATGTTGCGGGAAACCGGGACCAGACTGAAAGCGCAGTGATTAAGAGCCGAGCGAAGCGCCGTCTTAAGCAGGAAATGAGTAATTTCCAGCTCACGCTACGGGACTATTTGCAGACCCCCGAATTTGGCCACCTCTAATCCAGTGCTAGGCCTGGGGCTGCGGCAAACACTCATGAGAAAGAAATCCACCTCTGAATCTAATGAATTAAGAAATAATTCGACAATACTATAGGCAGGTTTAACCTATTCTCCCCTCAACCTCACTGGTATCTCTCCCAGCTCTTCCAGTCGTTTATTAATATACCACTGCAAGGCTAAGACAGGCCAGGACTTTTATTACAAGGCCCATTAACAGATAATGGATTTTCCGAACTATAACCGGTTGTAAGCGGCCACTGTGTAAAAAATTTCGAGACCTTAATAGAACCGAAGTTTCAATTGCTTCAAAATTGACTGAGGATACAGTGTGTCCAGTGTGCTGTGAAGTTTGCTGGGAAGTGCTAACTTCCTGGTCCTTAAAAGGGCAACATCATTCCGCTAAGGGTATAACGATATATTATTATTATTATTATTATTATTTCTCACAGCCAGCCCGTTTTTTTCTGTGTTCCCATCTCAAGGTACGCCTGACCCCCTGTATCAGTTTCTGATGTCGCCCTCCCATTACGGATAATCAATGTCACGTCCACATCCCAATTGCTGAACAAGAAAAATAAGGTCGTCACTACAGACACCGCGACAAACAGTGCGAGTTCTGTCACGGCAGTAGAGGGAGGGAGGACATCTACAGTCCAAGCAGCTCCGCTTGTGACCGCGCAAATCAGGGCTGTTGTCCGCTCTGGGTCACATGGTCAATATCTGCAGTTTAAACAACTGAGGCAATTCCTCAGACTGGTTACCAGCATTTCGCGTTTTCAAGGAATATGTTAAGGACACGCTTGATTATGTGTGCCATGGCACTTGTAAACCGCAATTGTACATCGTAGTATCTCCCCTAAAGCGGCTGTACAATGTACTAGATCTAGGCTCCACGATCGTTGGCCCCCTAGAGTACTGTGATAACCGCGGTCTCAGTGCCACGGCCAGGAGGTGTGATTTCTGAAGAACCAGTACCTCGGTGTTCCAGAATTCATTTGAGACTATAAGACTGCCCCCAGAAATGATCCATCTCTTACAAAATACCATTATGACGACATAACACCATGTCCACCTACAAGAATTCCCCCCAGTTGTTTTCAACAGCAATGATTTCAAGCTACGAATACGAAAACCTCTTTTTATTTTGTCTGGGAAGCATCAATACCATTTAAAAAAGGTCAAAAATTGAATCCAGGTGGCAATGAGCATAGGCTGGTTTCTCCATAGTTCCCTGATCTGTTTGTTGTTGGCCTGCCTGTCTGTCCTTTAATGGATGGAAACAGCCTTTCGCATTTTGCTACAAATGATGACAGTAATGTTTATTTTGCTCTAACTGGTGATAGGTATGTGCCTTTTACTACAAATGGTGAAAGTAACATACATTTTACTCCAAATGGTGATAATGTGCTGCTGCTGGCATCTCCCTTGCCTTGGAACTGTTTGGGATGGGATGAGAATATCCCAATTAGTTTGCTTTTCATCCAGGTGAAAGGCTAAAGAATTAACCCACAGTGCCCCCCCTTTCTTCCTCCGGGTGGGAATAGTAGTCATGCAGTGAGAGTAATTACAATTCTGCTGAGACCCCAGTGCACACAGCCAACCGTCCCAGTGGGCTGGAGATGATGTGGGAATGCCCAGCTCAGGAGACATGAATCTATTCATCTTTGTTGCTAATTCCTTGCCTCAGTTTCTATATCACTTCAAGGTAATGCAGAAGAACCTGCATTGATCCAAATGGCAATGAACCTTGTTACGTTAATAAAAATATAAAAAAATAATCTTAATTTTATGGAATGTGACATATATTCTTAATCTAATGAAGAACTGCACGACTGTAAGAGGACTGCAAATGTACGTTTACTACCACACTGTTGAATTACATAATGTAGGGCATAAAAAGCCTAATAAATTAGCATTTACATCACCAAGAATAATTCTGAATACCTCCCCCTTCGACAACATCATTTACTACTTGATTTTCCAGAAAAACAAGTAGATTTTCTTCGTTTTTGGTCTGATTTGCATTTAAGAGCATTTGGCAAAAGCTGAAACTTTCTCCTCCAGACTACTGAGAGGTTTTACATTTTACACCTGATAATACACAAATATTTTAAATTACACATTGACCTTAGAGGTTTATAGACGTCACTACGATTGCAATACCTAATTATAATAATTATATTAAAATATTGAAATAATGCCCACCTGAAATAGCACTTTTACATTGGGTTCTGATCAAAGTATCGTGCATATTTTAAAAAATTACAGCGAACTGTTTCAATAGCAGATTCTCATTCGGGGATAACGAGTGGCAGTTACACACACCGCCCTTTCTCTGCCTTCCTCCCGCCTACACGCACACACTTGCAGGGCTGTGTTGACATTCCAGCATGCCTCGCATGTGACTGGTGAACAGGATGGGCCCCATTTTTTCCCCCGGCTCACTGGACCGCACTGCCGGACACACACACACACACACCGCTCGCGGCCGACGGGCCCCCGGGCCGCTGTGGGAGCGGCCACTGGGGTGACGCTGCACGCTGCGTGGGGGGTCTAGATTACTCACACCGTGCAGGGAAAATTCCAAAAATCCTACACTCAACCAGCCGTGCAGAATGACCCATTTTACAGTAACAGCCATGAAGCCACTTCTTTGTCTTTCCTGCGGGCCCTCTCTGCACCTTTAACCGGTACAGTGGCGACCACCTCCGGCTCCCCTGTCCCTCGGCCGCCGGTGCAATCTGTTTTCTAACAAACACTGCGAGGCTTCTCCCGCTGTCGGAACAGGTGTTGCCCTTTTAAAATACCGGCCACTCTTTCGCCAAACTGTAGCCTGTTAATAGATGTGTCATTTTTTCGGTCTAACCTCAGTCTTGGCACAGCGATCTTAATAAACCTTTAACATTTACCTCCTTCATATGCAGTTTCCCTTTTAAATGAGGCGCTTTCAACAGCGCAAAACCTGAACCTGTTTAATAGCACTCGATGTAATTTGTATACAATACATAATGCATATCCATTATATAACCTACACTATATAATATATGTATTTGTAGGTGTACATCTTTCACACGTGGAACAGGGGTTTCTAAATAAGGCTCTGACTACATTATCTGACCACCACGTTGAATCCTTAAAATTCGTTATACCATTTTGGATCATAGTTATACCATTTTTGGCTTCCTTACTCCTTTTGACATTTACCCAATTCCGAAATACACTGTGAATAAAATATGACAAGAATGAAAAACTCAAATTGTTGGACTTCTTTGGCGCATTTCAAGCCCACGTTCACCACATTTTAAGCCATCCCAGTCGCGAGAGAAGACATGGGCCACACAAAATGTAAAGATTTCGTGAGGACGCATTTCTGTGCGATATTACAGGGTAGCTGAACAATATTCATCAATCCATTTCTGGGCCCCAGAAGTGTCAATTTATGCGTAACATGCTAGTCTCTTGAACCTCTTAACGTCCTGCTCTTTAAAACGGGAACAAAGGAGAGGTGCCGGGGACAGGTCGTACTGGATTCGCTCTTTGGAGGCCGCGCAGCTGCGCAGAGGTATTTCTGTCCAGGAAAGCACCGGAGCTAGAGTTGCCCTTTTAAATGTGGTGCCTCCCCCCCTCCATTTCAGCTCCGCCTGGTTTAATGTATCAAGTCGGTGACTGATCACGTGACTCTCGGGGGGTGGGGGGAGTAAATGCGAGCTGTGTTCAGTCCTGCAGCCTCAGTGCCTGCATTCCTGTCCTCTAGAAAGATTGCTCTAAAGGAAAAAAAAAATCATTAATAATAACACCGATACGGACTGGACTGTACCAACCGGGGGAAGCCGTCGGATTTACAAGAGAGCTTGCATCCCATGGAAGTATATGTGCGCAGGGGGGAACGGTGAAGTCATTTGAAGTTTCGGTTTTATATGTTATATATGTGTTTGGCAGACCAAAAAAACAGCGGAGAGGGAGAAAAAAACGAACCAGGAGGTGGAAAAAATAAGCAGAAAGGTCGCTTTTTTCCCCCTTTTTAAAGAGCAAAACAAGATGGCTGATGACAGCAAGCGATAAAAAGGGCAGAACGGCGCCGTCCCCTTTAAGAGCAGAAAACCGTATAAAATCTCGCTTTTTATATAAGTTGGACAATAAAACGGGATACGTGGAACGAGCTGGCTTTCTTTTCTGAGGAAATATACTCAGCCCTAAAGATACGCATTTCTGAGACGAGGGAGAAGGCAGAAATGGTAAATCGGTATTTTGGGGAGAATTGTTTCACGTTGTTAAATGAAGACAGATAGCTAGGTGAGGTGAGGACGGATTACTATACCGAGCTGAGAACGGGAGACTTAAACAGTTTGTAATTTATTTTTTTGAATATCTCAACCTATAGCACTCTATAGATGTATATTTTAGTGAAATATTTTAAAGAAACGCCGTTTTTGTTCTGCGCGACCGACTTCCTTTTCAAATGACGGGGACATAAAAGCAGCTATAAATTAAATATTATATATATAATAGTCTAATTTCGATCAATATATTGCAGATGTTTATTTTTCACATACTTTTATACTAAATTATTTCGAGAGGAAGATGGCAGAGGCCTTGTGTACAGATCCGGTTTTCATGTGATACGATATTTTTAATACATCTTGGAAAACACAAAACTGTACTGTAGTTACTGCTGGCAACAGCTAGTGTTTGATGCTGCTACGTGATAAAACGGTATTTTTAAAAGGGCTAAAGGGTACTTTTTAAGGTCGTTCGGGATTTTGACGAACTTTAACCGGAGGAAAGACCAGTTTCTTTTAGGGTTTGTTTCCGTTTTTAAAAGAAGAAGGAAAACTGTCGTGGCGAAGTTACGTTTTTATTGTATCTTTTATCGCCTTTAACGAGGCGTATCGTCACAAAGCGGGGAAGTGACAACGCAGTTCGAGTCCGTGTTGTTTTCGCACCCGATGTTGTTACGTTTGTAAGAATTGACAGGGATCAATTACGGATAGTTGCGCGCTGAGCCGGGAGAAAAAAATCTGGGAGTTGGTGTCATCTGCATTCGAGAAATTCCCGACCGTTTGCGCTCAATGTCGTTAAATGTGGCATGGTGAATAATTCTGGATTATTTCAGAGTTGAGTCGACATCCTGACCACAGAGAGACCCCACATTAAAAAGAAAACGCGATTAAAAGAACCATACTCCACTTGCTACGTTGTGAGTATAGTACATGACTGGAAACTCTTCCCGTTTTCTGCCAGACTTGGAATTTTATCCGGAATATCGCACGGGTTCCCCGTCCAGTGTCTCTCAGAACCGGAACCTGTGAAGAAAGCTACGTTTTTTTTTTTAAAAAAAGGAACTGTACGCCCTTTTCTGTTCTTTTTCGTTATTCGCTTCTGGTGCCTTGCTAGCTCAGACGTAGCTTAAAAAATAGTTTTTGAATGCCTGCCGCTACATTAAACTTCGTCACAGTTGGGACGCAGTTCAACCATTATTCCCAGCCTGGGTTAATGTTTGATCTGAGGGAAGGGACGGTGTCAGGGAAACGCTAGGTACGTTTTTATAGATCTATTTTCGCAAACACGTTCTTAAGGAAAATCAAAATTCGTTTATTTTCTCTGTAACCGAACAGTGCAAATTTAGATACATCAGTGAAGAGGAAGAGGCGCTCCTGTGCGTTGTTTATGGAGGCTTACCAACATTGTGAACAAGGTCGGGAGGGAGGTAGGACTTCAGTGCGCTTTGCTGGGCTGTTCATTCATAGCTAAAGCCATCTTTTTAAGCGCACGAAAAAAAATAACATTAAAACGGGAAAAAAAAAACTAGTGGGATTTGATCTAAGCTGCGTCAATTGGGATTTTGGAACGGCCAAAATACCACTACGGCACTCGGGGATCGAGATATTTCCTCTTTCACAACTCTCGCTATCTAATTCAGAAATTTGATAATTAATGCGAACATCGGCCGAAAGCTCCACTGAGACGTTGCCATGGCCGAAAACTGGAGAAACTGCTTCGAGGAGGAGCTGATCTGTCCGATCTGCTTACACGTTTTCGTGGAGCCCATACAGCTGCCTTGCAAACACAACTTCTGCCGAGGATGTATCAGCGAGGCCTGGTCCAAAGACACGGGCATGGTGCGGTGCCCGGAGTGCAACCACGCCTACAACCAGAAGCCCAGCCTGGAGAAGAACCTCAAGCTGACCAACATCGTGGAGAAGTTCAACGCGCTGAACGTGGAGAAAACCCCGGCCATCCTGCAGTGTATCTTCTGCCGGCGGGGGCCGCCTCTTCCGGCCCAGAAAGTTTGCCTCCGCTGTAACGCTCCTTGCTGTCAGTCCCACGTTCAGACGCACCTACAGCAGCCCTCTTCCAACCCGGGGCACTTGCTAGTCGAGGCCGAGGATGTACGGGCCTGGAGCTGCCCGCAGCACGATGCCTACAGACTTTATCATTGTGAAGCGGAGCAAGTGGCCGTTTGCCAGTACTGCTGCTTCTCCAGGTGTGGGGCCAACCACGGTCACTCGGTGTGCGACGTGGAAGTGCGACGCAACGACATCAGGGTGAGTGGGCTCGGGCGAGCACGGGGGTACGCGCCCCCATGAGCACAGAGTGGGTTAATTGTTAATCCTCATTTCTAATGTGTCCTGACAGTGGGCATGTGTAGAATGATAGCATCCCCCCTTTAATTTCGCGCATTTAGGGAGGCAACTGTGTGGAAAATGTACTGGGTGACGTTTCCTCCTGTAAAGCGTTTTCATCTCTAAAATATTTATGGGCGGTTATAAATCAACCGAAGCTTTGAAGTACACGTGACGTACCAAGATATTCCGGAGAGAAATTGTGCTCCCAATGACGGGAATTAATTTAAGTGAGCGTATTACATGAATACATGGGATACAGATTTTAGGATTGAATGATTTGGGGTGACCTACAGATTTTCTGGATTGGCCTGTTCGAGGGGGTAGGTTGGAGATGCCTGTGTCGAAGTTCCATATGGGTGTCTGTGAGTCTGGATACTTGTGGCTAGTTATTAAAAAGGGTCCATCTGTCCATCATTGTGAGGAAACATGATACTCTCTCCAGTCTCGTGTCTATAGGCTAGTGATTCTTAAAGTAATAAGAATGTGCTTCAGAAATAGTAAGAGCTTTCATGAAGCCTGGGACAAATTTTTACCCATGTTGTCTTTGCAGATATGACCTTATGAAGGCATGTAATTATTCGTAGTCAAGTGTCGGACAGGGACATGAGAAATGTGGGAAATCTCGTGAGAATATGGGTGACGTGGTGCAGTCAAGGCAGGTGCTGTCAGGCAAGGGGTCAGTCACTGGCCTGTCAGCCATCAGCTCGTAGAGATATGGCGATGCAGACAGTACTGATGGTACACATGGATCACAGCAATGTTCGTCCAGTCCGCTGCCGAAGGCCTGTCAGATCCATGTTTTACACGTTAGGCACCAGCAGGCAGTTGGCTGCTGTTGACGACCTTATTTATCTACCAGGTGGATTAAGATCCAGCAGCACGCAGTGCAGGATGCTGATTTCAGAGTGAAGCAGACGGTCTGCAGTGGCCTTTGCCATATGGGGACAAGATTGACCATGATTAAAGGCGGATACATTTTAACGACTGTGCGGTAGCAGACAGAGATTCATTGTTAAAATGAATTCAGACTAATGCAGCGTGCTGGTACCGCCATTGAGAATGGGGCTGATTCCTGGACCTTGTGGATATCGGTGTCCTGCTCCCACACTCGGTTTTCTGCTTGTGCAGTCTCACGGGCCTCATGGGAACGTTTGCAGTATCTTCTCTTCCTCAGTCTCAGCTGAGAACAGGGGTTCGTCTGAAAACGCCACCCTCTGCTGACAGCATGGGTTTGTCTTCCAGTCGGATGCACAGACCGTAGCCATGGAGGGCAGAGCTGTTGAGTGGTGAGGTCTGTACCTGGGGTTGTGGATCTTCCATGGATCGTGTTAGTGTGGAGATCCGTAGCAGTTGTTTCTACGTGGAAGCAAGTCTCCTCGCGTTCGATACTGGGGTAGCTGTTCTGGGTCGTTGCAGGTGGTTGGCAGGGTGTCAGCCCAGTGCGGGTGTTTCCTGTCTGCTGGTGGCACAGCTGGAATCGCTTCGAGATGGATGGGCGCAGAATGCCATAGAGACCTTGTTTCTGTAACGTTCCCAGACTGCTCCTCCCTCTGTCGCTGAGCCCTGGCGTTATGGCTGCACTGTTAAACTGGCCGACCTGCTTGCTTTTTTTTATGCCTGTACATGTTACCTTTGAACTTGCGAACACAACCACGCACTGCTTCGCCACATTTTGGCACGGTTGCGCTTCAAGTACGGCCACGGCAAGGAGTGCAAACATGATGTGAGCTCAAACATCCTGTAGAGGCTTACAGCAGCCTTTCATAATATCACACCCCCGTAGGTTAATGGGCTTCTGTTACATAATTAATAGGAGTGAAAATCTGTATTATATACTGAGGTATTCTGGTAAGCTTGTGAATCCTGGGGAGTTCTCCTTCCATCTGTGAATCAATAAAGCCTGAAGTTGATGAGCCATCATCCTGTATGTAATGCGTAAGTGTGTCAGTATGTATGTTAATATATATTCTGCACACTTATCAAAAGTGCGTTATGTCTGCCACAGCTGTATTCCAGGCAGGCACAGTGAGATAAGAGCCTTATCAAAGTCACTTCTGATTTTAATCCATCACATCTGGTGGTATTTCAAAGTATCCGAGCCCCATGCTTGTCCCAGACAGCCTCTGAGGTTTCTCCCAGCCCGTTTACCATGGATAAGTCAACAGGCTGACACCAGTGCAGACCGTGCCGAGGTCTGCGTGTCAGTGTGCTCTGGACAGGAAGGACAGAGCTCGGGGACGAGGAAAGGGGACGGGCTTGCTGTGATAACAGGTCTTTTGGATGCCCTGTTTATGTCGTCTTTCTTTCCTCTGCACTAAATGTTCTCTCCGGCAGCCTGTGCCGTATTTCTCATGAGCCTGCCGGCAGAAAAAGTGCTGCACGGATTGACTTGTTTCATAGCTGAGAGGCAAGAAACAAGAACTCGGCTGGCTCCCACTGAGCTAAGAAATCCGAAACAGAGTTCACTATTGAATGCTTGAACACCGTTTATGTTTTTTCGAGATGTTGAAATACCATGAGCTCACTTCACACTTAGCATGAACTGTTTAGATTTCTTTTTACCTTGTCACTTCCCAGTTCCCCCCTCAGTCCGAAATCATGCCTGTTGGTAAGTTCACGGTGGAAATGTCACTTCTGGGGACTGCTCCGTCTGCACCGCTGTGTCACAGGGAGTGCTCTTCCTTCACTCCCCCGCGGTTTTCACGGTTCTTTCCGTGTCCCTTTCATACGCGTGATTCAAGCAGGATCTTTGCATGTAGAAAATTACACGGTTGTAAAAGAACAAGAATGAAGTTCACAGAAGTGTGTAGCTCTTAACTGATGCTGCTGTGCAACGAGAGTACTCCGTCGCGTGCTCGAAGGTGATCTGGGATTGACCTCATGGTCTGGGATCCACTTCTTCAGCAGCGCTGGCTGGACTGGTTTTGTGATTGAGGCTGCGGCAATGACAGCGCCTGGGGAAAGCCAGTCCAGGAGAAACAAACAGGGTTTATTTTTCAATGCGTTTTGCGAGTGATGGCGAGAGGCGAAAGAGTGGCAGCCGGACAGTGGATCCGGCCCTTTTCTTATTCGTCTCCTTTTGAGCGCTAAACCAGCGGGCCCAGCAGGGAACAATGTGAGGTTCAGCTGAACGGCTTATCTCGCCAGCACAGGTGCATCCTCGTGAAGGTGTGTGTGTGTGGGGGGGGGCGAAGCGAGGGAGAGAGAGAAAGATGCTGTGTGCTCAGTTTCGTAAGAGGGGGGCGGTTCCCACGCCGTTGCTCCGGGTGAGAGATGGCGTTCACCGCACGAATGTGCCTTCCCGCCTTCGAGGGCCTGATCCGGGTTCTGACTCCGCGGCGGTTTGATCCGGGCTTGGTTCGGCTGAGCGGTCCCGCAGCCTCCAGCCGCCGGAGGCTCTGCATGAGAGCCGAGCCCTGCACAGCCCCCTGAGAGCCAAACAGCCACGCACAGGATTGCTATCAGGCTCCCTGAGCTGAATTCTTCATCTCTGCAGGGCTGCTGGAAAAGCACTCAGGAAGTGCTGGTGGATGTCTGCCGTAGATAACCAGTCTATTTGTACCGCGGTACTACATTGGGATCAGCAGAGGTTGATCAAGGTTTTTTTTTTTTGGATGGGGGAGGAGAGAACAAATTTGAACTAAAAACAGGAGGCTTGCTTCTTGCGGTGCCGCGATGGGTCCCGACTGACATTTGGCGACTCAGCTCTGCCTCCTGAAAGGCCCCGTTGCCACCTGCCCACCTGCCCACCGGTTCACTTTTCCACCGGCCCCAGCAGCGGCACAGGAGCGCTTCACAGTCAGACTGGGACCACGCATCTGAGAGACGAGGCGCCCGAGACACGCCAGCGCGCCGCGAGCCA